CCCTTCTTTCCAATTTTCTCCTTCCTTCCTCCCTCCCTCCTCCTCCTTCCTTCCTTCCCTTTCTGATCCTTCCTTCCTTCCATCCTTTACTTTTTTCTCCTTCCTGTATATATGTGAAGCTATATATATATTTTTTTTTTTCTTGTGTTCGTCTTGTTTTTTTATTTTTTTCAAAATCCCTTCCAAGAGCCCCCCCCTGTTCAGCGATCGTATTTCCTGTCCTCTGCTCCCTTCTCGAGCCAACCCACCCGTTGGCTCTGGGTCCAGAGGATCTCCCTTATCCCGAGACAGTCTATCTTGGTGACCCTGCTCTGCTCTCCCTCCCACAGAATAAGCTGCAGCAGCTGCGTCTGCAGGAGCTCCAACGCCACCAGCGGCTTCCTCAGGTCGTGGAAGCCAAGGCGGAAGAGGAGGAGGAGGAGGAGGAAGGAGAAGGGGAGGAGGAAGGCAACAACAGGGACTCCTCGGAAGGCAGTTCCCCTCCCACCCTCCGGAAGAGCACCAGCAGCTTGGACTCCCAGCAGTGGTAAGTCCCCGGGGGGTGGAGTTGGGGGTTTAAAAAAATCACTGGAGGTGACCCTCACCCAACTTCCTCTCCTGGTTTCAGCCTCTCCGATGGCTCCACCGACACCATCTCCGTGATCGCGGCTGAGACCGGCGAGGAATTCCTTTCGCCTTCCTTCGACGGGAGCCAGTTCCTCCCCCCAGCGGAGGAATTGAGCATCGGCCCCCTCCCCGATTCCGCCACGCCCTCCTTGGAGGTGGGAGACCCGCTCCCCGATACCCCCGGACCCTTGTCGAAACCGGAACCCAGCCCCTGCAGCTGCTCGTCGTTCGACAGCGCCTACGGGACCCTCTCGCTCGGCTCGCTACACGAACTGGCGGAGTCCTCGCTGCCGCAGGGGGGAACGGCGGCTGCCGAGGAGGAAGAAGAGGAGGAGGATGTCGCCAAGACTGGTTCCCCCAAGCTGCGCCGCCAGACCCCCGTCCAGCTCCTCCCCGCCAAGACCAAGGTGCTGAAGTCCAAATCGGAAGCCAACCTCGCGCAGGTGCTATCGCCCTCGCTGTTCCTCGTCCAGAGTCAAAGTTTGTCCGAACTTTCTCCTCCGGGCATGGTGTCCGGGGGTCCCCCCATGCAGGAGCCTCAAGGCCAGCCCCTCCGCAGGGTCTTTAGCAGCAGCAGCAATAACAGCAGCGCTTCCGAGCTCTCCGAAGCGGAGGAGACGTCCTCGCCGGGGATCTGCGTCTCTCCGGGGTTGGTGGTTACCGTCGCGAGCGGGTCGCCGTGCTGGCCGGACGAGGAGGCTACGAGCGAGGAGCTGTCGGAGGAGCAGCAGGCGTTTTCGGACCCGCCGACGATTCAGCACCGGAAGTTGACTCTGGGCCAGCTGTACCGCCTCCACACCACGCTGCTGCTCAACTCCACGCTTACGGCCTCGTGAGTGTGGGGGGCGGGTGGGACTTTGAGCCGGGCTGAGGGGACCCCTGGGCTATTCTCGAAGGTGGGGGGCGGGGGGGGGAGACAGGATGCTGAATTGTGGTGATATCAGGCTTGGAGGGTAGTCAGGCAGGAAACATGCCCCGATGAATTCCTTCTTCTTTACACGTCGTTCTTGACTTACAACAGTTCGTTTAGCAACCGTTCGAAGTTACAAGGCTATTCTGTGTTCTGTTCACTAACAGACTTTCTCTAACAAACATTGGTTTAGTGACTGAAGCGACAAGAGCAAAAAAGGGATGTAGGGCCGGTTTTCACACTTACGACCGTTGAAGCATCCTTGCAGTCATGTGATCCCACATTCAGACATTTGGTGACCGACTCATATTTATGACGGTCGCAGTGTCTGGGGGGTCATGTGATCCCCTTTTGTGACCTGATGAGCAAAGTGAAGGGGGGGGAGCCAGATTCCCTTAACGACCTAACTTAACAGCTACAGTGATTCACTTAACGGTGGCAAGAAAGGCCCGTAAAACGGGGCAAACCTCACCTAACAACTGTCTTGCTTAACATGACCTGCGATGTCGTAAGTGTGAAATGGTCGTAAGCGTGAAAAATGGTCATCCGTCACTTTCTTCGGTACCACTGTAACTTCGAACGGTCACTAAATGAATGATTGTGAGTCAGGGACTACCTGTAATATCCCACATTCTCGTCTCTTGCAGGGAGGTATGAGAAGCGTCGGAGGAAGAGAACCGAGTGCGAGACAAAGGACCGGTTTTGCGGTCCCGCCCATCCCCCGTGGGCATCAAGACCACCCAGACACCCCAAGGGGGTGGGCACAAGGACAGAGCACCGCATCCCAAACGGGTACCACTTCTCTGTACGTGCGTGCTCCCAATCGATGTGTTTGCGGCCACTGTGCACCCTTGGCCCGAGGACATGACAGACAAAGGAAAAGTGGGGGGCCAGAGGGTGGGGCCCCCCAACAAAAGCTTCCCAGGAAGTTCGAATTTGAACCCCAAGTTTTACCTTTTGCACTGTTCACTCCTCCTTATTCAACTCTCCTCTCTGGACACAAAGGATGGAGAAAGATAATTCAAATGGATCTCCGTGCAATGTTTTGTCTCTCTGTTTTTCTCACTCAGCTCTTCCTCCCTCTTAACTATGGTTCCCCCGTTACCCCAAATCTCCCCATGTCAGGAATTGAGCCTCGTGACTCCCTCTTGGACGTGGGGCCCAACAGCCATCGTCACCCCTCCCCAAATCCACTTTCCAGTCGACCTAAATTTTGCTCGTTCGTGCTCGCTCCATGCCATGCACAGCGGAGCACCAAAAAGGATCGGGGACTTTCCAGCCTCGATTATCCTGCCTGGGCAATGGGTACAAACCCCCCCGCCCCATCGTCTTACTCCCGTTGCGGTATGGGGGTCTTCCCATCCAGCAGGAGAAAAATAAAGACTCCCTTTCCCTCTCCTTGGGAGTGTTTTTCCCTGCCGAGGAGGTGCACACAGCAAACCAGAAAAGCATTGTACAGAACAACCTAGAGGTCATCTAATCCAACCCCAGCATCCCGAGAGAGGGAAGGAACGGGTTCAAGCCGAGGTTGGGCTGTTTTTCGGAAAGAAAGAAAGAAAGGAGAAAGAACCGGAAGGTCGGAGAAGGGAAACGAGTAAAGAAGGACGACAAAAGGGATCGGAGGAACGGGAAAGCAGACGGTTGCGGAAAGGATGAAGTTTCTGCCGAATTTTGCGAGCCGGGTGTATCGGAAAAAGGAAAAATGGAACAGCAGCCTGTTGAGTTGAACTGTGATATCGAGGCCATATTTCGGGACGTCGGTGCCCCTCTGCCCCCTCCCCCTTCTGTCAGGGACACCGTGGCCCTTCCAGTTTTGGGATGACAATTGTTTGACTCCAAAGCCGACTTCTTCCGTGAATGAAAAACTAAATGGGGCCCCGCTCGGACGGCGGAAGCAAAGCCCACCCCCAAATAAATCGGCCACTGGACGTAACTCCGAAACGATGCATTTTTTTCCCTAGCAACCTTCCCCCCCCCCCTTTTAAAATCAGGGTGTGTTGCGTTTTGCGTTGGCTTATAACATTGCTTATTTATTACGCTTATGTTCTCGCGGACCCCCTCCCCAGGCCCCGTTTTTCAATGGGGCAGGAGAAGGGGGGGGGTGTAACTAGTTCAGTTTCTTCCCTACCGTGGCGTGCCGTGGCTCTTGTGGCTGCCCTCCCCAGAGACGCTGTGGGGAGGGGTCTTGATTTTGCAAAACATCCCTCCCCCCCCTTTTTTTTTTTTGCAAATGTGATTGCTTGGCGTAATTAAAGGCCGATTAAATCTTAATGAATTTTTTTTTTCCTGTCCTGGGGTGGAATTGTGGAGGAGGGATGTGGGGGTGGTGGGGGGTTTTGTTGCTAGTTTTGGGCGTGATAGCAAACCATCATTGCTTGCTGGGTTAGGGTGGGAAATGCAGCCCATGGCGGCTTGCTCCACAAACCAGGATATGGATACGAAACACAATCGGCGTGAGTTTTCGCAAATGGGGCATTTGCCTGTTTCCTTTGGTGGAATTCCTTGCCAATATTGCTTTGGCACCATCAGTCCTCGACTTACGACCATTCGTTTAGTGACCGGGTTTAACAACGTCACTGAAAAAAAGCCCCCTTAGGACCGTTTTTCACACTTATGACCATCGCAGCCTCTCCCGTGATCCAAATTCAGACGCTTGGCAATCAACTCGTATTTATGACCGTCTCAATGTCCAGAGGTCACGTGATTCCCCTTTGGCGACCTTCTGATGAGCAAAGCCAATGGGGGAGACAGACTTCACTTAACGACTGTCTGATTTGCTTAACAATTGAGCGATTCATTTAACGACAGTGGCAAAAAAAAAAAGTACAATCGGACGCAGATCGCTTAACAAACATCTTGCTTAGAAGGATGGAAATTCTGCTCCCGGTTTTGGTCATAAACTGAGGACCACCTGTAACCATAGCTGTCAATCCGGTGCCCCTTTTTAACCACAGTTATCTGGGGTGATCGCCATACCGCCCCCTTCTTTTTCTATGAGGGAGGGGGAAACCCCCCCAAGTCCTGTGCGTCAGTCACTGCCTCCTTCACTCATAATTTCCCATCTGTCTTTCAGCCCCGTTGCAAACCGAGCCTTTGATCCATTTGCATAAAAGGCGGTGTCGTTTTTTGTTTTTTTTTTCATTCTCTTTCCCTTTTTTGTCGAGAAAAAAAAGCTAGCTCTTCAGCAAAGTTCACCAAATCACATTCTCAAAACAAAACAAAAAACTCCGGCACTCTTAACTTTTTTTTAATAATCTTCCTCTGGAACCCTTAAAAGCGGCCGAGTTTTTTTCCTCCCCGAATTCGATCTTCAAGAAAATTGAAAAGAAAGGGAGGAATGAAATTTTTATCAACCTCACCCACCCCTTAATTTTTTTTTTAATTCTCTCTCTCTCTCTCTCTCTTGTCCTTTCCCCAACTTTTTCAAAAGTTTCCCGCTGGATCCCTCGGCGTGAGAAAAAAAGAGCTTGCACTTTTATTTTTTTTTTTTTTTTTTTTTTTTTTTTTTCAAAAGAATTGCATTTCCTTCCTGCCGTACAGACTTGAAAGGTTGCTTCTGCCGGTTGGTATTCACTTTCCTTCGAAGACATCTGGGGGACAACGCTTGGGGGGCAGGTGTTGAGGTGGGGGGGCTGATTTCCTGAGCCTTCTGGTAGTGGCGGTGGCTGAACTTTTAACGCGAGCGATGCGCGGTGGGGTCTCTTCATGGCATCAGCTGCTGCGGTAAGTACCAGCGGCTGTCCCGATTTTGCAAAACTTCATTTACGCAGACGGGGAAAACTGCCGGGTTAATTCTCAACGAGGCACCTGGTCGATGAAGCCGAGTCTCAGCTGTCTTCATTCATAAAGGTAAGTGAGATTTTGCTGTCACTTCTTACTTTGATTCTTGGAAAGAGGTTTCCTGCCTCGTTCTAACAGGAGCCTTGAGAATGGGGAGTCTTGGTGATGGTTTGTGTTTCTTCCCTGTTTTCTCCATCTGTCCCAATTTAATTGGAGGGGACTTTCCTCCTTCGAAAAAAGAATCTTGAAAACCACCCTCTCTTAAAAATGTTAAGAACTTTTTAAATATCTTTTTTTAAAAAAAAAACTTTAAATAAAGAAGAAAAGTTTAAAATCCTTTTTCAAAACCGTTTTGAAAATACTTGAAACTTTTTAAGAACCTTTAAAAACTTTTTTAACGCTTTAAAAACTTTTTAAAACCATTTTTTTTAAAAAAAACACTTTAAAAAATCTTAAATGCCTTGGAAAAAGGTTTTAAAAATTGCTTGCTTTTTTAAAAAAAAAAACCTTATGTTTTTAAGAATCTTTAAAAACTATTAAAGACGTTTTTAAAACCTTTTTTTTAAAAAACCCTTTAAAAGTTTTTAAGAATCTTAAAAAACTTTTTTAAAAAAAACTTTAAAAATCTTAAATACCTTGGAAGAAGTTTTTTAAAGTTCTTGTAAAATCTTTAACAATATTTTTTGAAGTCTCAAATATCTCTCAAAAAATCCATTTCTGGAGGGTTTGGTTTGGGGATTTTTAATATATATATATATATATATATCTTAATGTTTTTTTTTTCACCTTGGGAGAATTCTGGTGCATTTTAATAAATGCACAGAAGGTGATGTTTAAAGGGCACCACCTCTTCTGAAAACTTTGGGGTTTTTTGGCAAAGGAAGCAGACAGATCTTGTGAAGTGGAAGCAGGACAGAGAAATGGGAATCAGGACAGTGCAACTGGAAGAGACGCCCAAGGATCATCTAGTCCAGCCCTCTAGCATGCAAGGCAGCCAGTAACCCCTCCATAAGAAGGGACTGTCCTGTTTCTCTCAAGCCACCAAAGATGGTTGGATAATCAAACGTCAGGAAGGTAGAGATATTTGATCACACAATTACACACACACACATGTCAAGGTCTTTTGACAACCTGAGAGGCAACTTAATTTCAACCACCAGGTTAAGTTGTTAAAGGGCACATACTGTTAACCTTGTTTTTGAGATTCTCGGGTGTGTCGCACCTCAGCTAAACCTAGTTCCTGGATTCAGGAGCCTGCAAAAAGCTTGTGTATTTTATTCCTGAAGTAGGTTGTGCTTGTACGCACAATTATTACGTGCATGTTGTATGTTGTGTGTGCCGTTTTTAATGCATAGGCCTCCAATGGCCACCAGGGTGCCCTGATAATTAGCTTTTCTCCCCTAGGATTGCAAGATTGGAGTTGCAATTCTGCCGAGGGCCACTAGAGGGCCATCGAAGTGGCATCCGTTGGCCCCCTGGTGGTCATCTGGATTAATGCAGCCGAGATTTGAAACCATCCTATTCTCTTTTTTAAAAAAAGAACTATCAGAGGCATTTCAGATCCCAGCCTGAGATTGAAGATGGGGAGTTTGTAACACATGGGGGGACCTGCCATGTTAATCCTGGCCAAGATGCTAGTCCTCGTGTTTTTGCTGGGGTTTTTTTGGGTTTTTTTTCACTTCATGCCCTTCAAATGTTTGCAGAGTGAGATAGGCTTGGACTGCCCTACCCGACAAACACGTGAAGATCATATAAGTACAAAAACAAGACTCTGGGTTCCATGCACAAGAGGTAAAAAAACCATGTGCAAAGTGCCCTCCTCCTCCTCCTTTCTGAGCGGGAAAGGGTTAAACGGGGGAGGAGATCGTATTTCGGGAAAGGAAGTAGATTTAATCTGGAGCTGACTGTACCCCCGATAAGAATCTCCTAGGGCAGGGCCCACGCTACTACGAGGTAATCTATTTTGGAAATAGCTTTGATGCTCAAAGCAGGACGAATAGCTCTAGAAACTATTGCTCAGGGTGGGGCAGAAATGGGGGGGGAAATTGTCTTCTAAAAACTCTGAATTCTTGGTACGATGTTAGAAAATTGGGTTTATGCTTCCGAAGGCCTAGCACTAAAGGAAAAATGACGGGGAGGGATGAGGAAAGAAAAAAAAAACCCCAAATCTGAATACCAGCTTTTTCAAGCTAAAAGTTTCCGCTTGACCGAAATCGCTCCGAATTTTCCTGGAAAGAACTCGTCCTTTTTAAAAGTCTTTTCGTGTCTCGTTTTATATCCTACCGGGTTCTTTTTTTGAAAAATTGCAGTCGAAGTTCATGCCAACAGGTGTTCAATGTGGTAAGAAGAATACCGGATGTGACCAAAGGGCAAAAATTAAATCAATGTAAAAACCAGAAAGGAAAACATATTCGTCTCGTGGCGAGATGGGCAGCAGGCGGCAGCCTCCCTCGAGGAACGAAAGAAACGAGGGTCTAAAAAAAATAAACCCAAGATGTTGTAAGATGAGGACTACCTGTGTTAGGGACGGAGAGGGTCCTTATTTGTATTTGGTCTTGGTTTTTTCTTCTCCAGAAAAGTCTCGATAAAAGAAATCTGGAGAGGAAGAAGACGTTGGAAGGTGCGCGATTTTAGGGAGACGCATGGATAAAGAGGCGAGTATCCTCGGCGAGGTACAAAACAAACCATCTTGGTTTGAAGCGGAGTTCATGGGAAAGATAGGGAGCCCTCGACTTACGACCGTAAGCCATGCCGGTCTTTAAGTGGGTCCTCCTCACGTGATCGTGCCAAATTTAATGACCTTTGATTGCGTCCATCATGTAAGCGTAAGCAAATGCGACCATCGCAACATCCCCGTGATTACGTGATTTAACATTTCGGCAACCGACTCGTATTTATGACGGTCGCAGCATCCTGGGGGGTGGGGGGGGTGTCACACGATCTCCTTTTGCGACAAGCAAATTCAACGTTCGCTTAACTACGGTGTGACTCACTTAGCAACAGCAATGGTTCGCTTAACGATTGTAGCCAGGGAAGTCGTAAAACGGGGCACAAAACCTGCTTCACAAAGGTGTGTCGCTTTGCAATGGAAGTTTGGGGCTCCGTTGTGGTCCTAAGTCGAGGGTTACCTCGTATTTATCAACCTTGGCAACTGTAAAGATGGGTGGACTTCAATTCCCAGCATTCCCCAGTCAGGTGAGTAGGGAATTCTGGGAGTTGGAGTCCGCTCATCATAAGGGTTGCTACGATTGAGAAAGCTGGTCTAGACAATCTCCAAACACCTCTTTTTGGGCCAAAAAAAATAAAAATAAATACTGTCTGCCACTTTCCCGTCTCATGGAGTCGTGAGGGTTTCGAAGGAACCCTAAAGGTCATGTAGTCCAACCCTAAACCCGAGGCAGGACTTCTCATCTCCCCTCCTTTCCTTTTAGATCTTCCTGGTGATTTTTTTGCTCTTCTCTGCTGGATCACAAGTCCTGGATGGCATGAAGGATGCCAAGAAGATATTCCGAGAAGTGGAAGGATCGGCTTTTAGGAGGAAAAAAAGCTTGAGATCTGTAGGATCAGAAAATCAGAGCAACCCTGGTAAGTCATGTGATTTCCCCCCCCCCAATTAAACAAAACATGGTTGGTCTAGATGATCTCTGAGTTCTGTTTGAACAAGAGTCCATGAAAATGAATGTCGGGCAAGCGTGGGAGACTGCAAGTTCTCGTCCTTCCTTAGCTATGAAAACTGGCTGGGTGACTTTGGGCCAGTTCCCCCCTTTCTCTCTCTCAGCTCAGCCCAACCTTACAAGGTTGTTGTTATGGAGAAAATAGGAGGAGGAATGTATGTTGGATAGGTTTGCTACCTTGAGTTATTTGTAAAAATGAAGGTGGGATAGATGATTGATAGATAGATAGATAGATAGATAGATAGATAGATAGATAGATAGATAGATGAGAGAGAGATTAGATAGATAGATGAGAGAGAGATGATAAGATAGATAGATGAGAGAGAGAGAGAAGATAGATAGATAGATGAGAGAGATGATAAGATAGATAAATAGATAGATAGATGATAGATAGATAAATAGGTAATAGATGAATAGGTAGGTAGATAGAAAGAGAGTGAGGGAGAGAGAGATAATAGATAGATGATAGTTATAAGTGGAAGGGAGGAAGGAAGGAGGGAGGGAGGAAGAAAAAGGAAAGGAGGGAAGCAGGAAAGGAATGAAGGAAAAAAAAGAAAGAAGGAAGGAAAGAAAAAGAAAGAAAGAAAGAAAGAGAAAGAAAGAAAGAAAGAAAGAAAGAAAGAAAGAAAGAAAGAAAGAAAGAAAGAAAGAAAGAAAGAGAAAGATGGACAGGGCAACCTTCAGGCCTTTTAAAGTATGCATTACTCTTACTGCAACCATTCCAGGGGGGAAAAAACATCTTTCTCACTCGCTCCTCATCCCCTTTTCCCCCTCCTGCAAGGACCCTCCTCTTCGAGGCCTCCCGATAGCGCAGCGAAACCTGTCCCCTGCCCCAAAGGAAGGTTCCACTTCGACAGTGAGAACTGTTCAGTGTGCAAATCTTGCACAGGTGAGGAGAATGGACCTGGGTGGGGGGGGGGGGGGGGGGGTGGGCAACTGGCAGGAGAGAGTGTGCTCAGTTTTCCCAAACTTTGCACCCCTCCCAGCCACACACACACACAAAAAATGTGGCACTGGTGTGTTTGCGTCCGTGTGCACGCATGCCGACTGCAAGGCGGAGGGGGATTCTGGGAAACTGGCTCCTTCCCTCCCCAATTCAATGCCACCCACTCCCCGCAGTTATTAAGGAGGCGTAAATGGTTTTCGCCCATCGAAAAATGCTTTGTTTTGCAGGCGCTAACACAATTTTGGTGCAGGAGTGCAGAGACAACCAGGACACGGAGTGCGGCTGCGCGGAAGGCTATTTCAACCAAGAGAACGTTCCCTCTCTATTAAACTGCATGAAATGCACCAACTGCAGCTCTCAGCGCAGGGAGACGCTGCAGGCCTGTATGTACATGCGGACGGCGTTAATTTTAGATTTTTTTTTTTAGATTTAAAAAAATAAATAATAATTTAACGATTATTAGAGGTATAGGCAGCCCTCGACGTACGACCACAACTGAGGGACAAATTTTCCCGCGGGACAGTCGTTAAATAAGTTTTGGCCTCCCATTACGACCTTCCTTGCCGCCTGTCGTTAAGCGAATCGCTGCTTAAGTTCGTTTCATTTGCAAGACGGGTTGTTAAGCTCGTTTTACGAGCTTCCTTGCTACGGTCGTTAAACGAATCCCTGCCTTGAGTCACCAGGTCGTTAAGGGAAAGCGGCTAGAAAATGAGGCTGAACCTTTTAAATCTTTTAAGGTCGCCGAGACGCCGACGCCGAGTGCGGATCCTGCTTTTCCGGCTTCTGCGAATCTGGAGAGACCTGCGGGCCATGTCCGACGTAAGCCCCCCCCCACCCCTCAGCCAGTTTGGGGTGGGGTGAGGAAGGAGTTAGGGTGCCCCGAGCTCAGAATAATATATTTTATTTATTAATAATGTATTTCTTTTATTTGGAGAAAGACCACAGAGCAGAGTTGAAGTGTTCACCTCCATGATGGCTCCTGATAGAATCAGCCTGACTCCCCGGTAAATGGACAGCCCCCCCCCCCCCCCCCCCCCCCCCCCCCCCCCCCCCCCCCCCCCCCTCACCCCCCCAATCCTCCCTCAGCCCCTCCCAATCTCCCCCAGACTCCCTAATCCTCCCTCAGCCCCCTCAAACTCCCCCAACTCTCCAATGCTCCCTCAGTCCCCCAATCTTCTCCAGACCCCCCCCCCAACTTTCCCCCCCCCCCCCCCCCCCCCATGTTGCCCAGACCAACCAATCCTCCCTCGTCCCCCTAAGGTCCCCCCATCCTTGAGGAATCCTTGTTTAAACGCCTGGCTCTCAAGCTGCAATTTTACTAAATTCACTAAATTTTACTAGAGATGGTTCTCGCTGTACGACCACCATTGAGCCAAAAATCTCCATTGCTAAACGAGACAGTGATCAAGTGAGTTTTGTCCCATCTGACGACCTCACCTGCCCCCGTTGTTCAGTGAATCTCTGCAGTTGTTAAGTGAAGAACACCGTCGTTAAGTGAATTTCCCCCTTGACTTGGCTCGTGGGAAGGTCACCAAAGGGGGAATCAAGTGATCCTGGGACATTGCCACCGTCGTAAATACGAGTCAGTTGCCGAGCGGGTGATTCTTTTAAACACCGCAGGGTTCACGGAACAACCTCAACGATTCACTTAGCAATCGGAGCAGAAAACAAGATGTGCAAATTAAGCCCGGCTCATTGAAGTGCCGCATCGCTTAGCAACGGGAGTTTTGGTTCCCGATGGTGGTCATAAATTGAGGACCGCCTGCGAACTTCCTAATTCTTTCTGGGATGCAAATCCCGCCTTCACCCAACGTGCGCGGTAGGATTCGCACCCCGTCCACTTCACCCCATTGAAAAGCAATGCTACCTTTTCTAAACTTCCATTTTCTCTCCTAGCGGGATCCCCGAAAACGAGCAGTGCAACATGGTCTGTAAAATCGGTACGTAGTCTCGGTGATTATTTTTTTCCTCCCATTTGTGGCACGCCGAAGCCGCGGTTGACGGAGATAAGGAAGAGAGCCGAGATTCAGGGCTTGGGGGTAAGGCCTAGGCGAATTTGTCTGGTTGGGATGGGACACCACCAGGAGATCCCAGAGAAGAAGGTAAGTCTTTGAAGCTGAAAAACACCTTCAAATGTTAGTTTTTTATTGTATTTTATTTTACACTTTTATTTTTGTTTAGGTTTTCATTTTATTCTAGTTCAGATTTTTACTTCCTTTTGGTTTAGATTTTTATTTTATTTTAGCTTAGATTTTTACTTTATTTTAGATTTCTATTTTATTTTAGATATTTCTTTTTGCTTTAGGTTAGATTCTTATTTTGTTAGACTTTTGTTTTATTTCAGATATTTATTTTATTTTAGATTTTTACTTTATTTTACTTTAGCTTCTTAGTTTAGACTTTTTTTCGCCACGTTTATTCTTTATTTTAGATTTTATTTTATGTTTTATATTAGTTTTTTATTTTATTTTATTTTACTTTAGATTTTTACTTTTCATATATTGGGTTTTATTTGGCTTTGGATTTTTATCCTATTTTAGAATTTTATTTTAGATGTTCGTTTCATTGCCTTGCCCTTGCCTTGTGGTTTTATTTTATTTTAATTTCATAGAGGAAACGAGACACGTTTTAACTCCGGGGTCTTGCAAACAAGCTTAGGGGGGAAAAAACCCCGTATGCGTTTGCTTAATTGATCTGATATTTAATTTTTCTGCATTTATGCAAAGAAGCCAATTCTGAATACGGTGTGAATTGGCTGACCTATCGCTCCTGGAAAATCTGAAAAATATTGATTTTTGCTTGATTTCGCTCTTCTTATGGTCTCAGCCGTAGGTGCCTGTGGGTGTATTTTCATCCTGGCCGGAGCCCTGGTTCTCTATTTTAAGAAGAGGAAAATTACTTCTGTTCCGAAGCCAATCCCTCCTCCGAATATCTACATTAGCAAACCCCATTTTGGTAAATTTTCTCAATTGTCGTTCTGCTGTTTATTCGCTACAGGTCGTCCTCGACTTACAACCGCCAACTGAGCCCAGCATTGCCTTCATTTTATTTTAGATTTTACTCTATTTTAGATTTTATTCTAAGCGAGACAGTTGCTAAGGGAAGGTTGTCTTGTTTTACGACCTTTCATGCCACGGTTGCTAAGCGAATCGCTGCAAGTTAAGTGTGAAGTGTATCTGTCTTTCCCTCTCCCCCCCCCCCCGACTTTGCCGGTCAGACAGTCATAAAAAGGGAATTGCGTGACACCCCCCTGGGAAAACTGCAACCGTCATAAGTACAAGTCGGCCATGCATCCGAATTTTGATCAAAATGGTCATAAGTGTGAAAAACGACTCTAAGTCACTTTTTTTTCAGTGCTGTTCTCATTTCAAATGGTCATTAAACAAATGCTTGTACGAGTGGTGGAGCTCTCGCCTCAGAATCAGGAGGCCGTGAGTTCGATCCTAGGCAGATATTTCTCTCTCTGGGCACGATGAGAATATATCTGCTGTGAACTCCACATTGGTGACAGGAAGGGCATCCGGCCAGTAAATACTCAGCTCCATTCAATTGCCCCAAGACTCCACCCCACAAGGGATTACAGAGTCATTAAATGACCAAAAAAAAAAACATTAGAAAAAAGAAACGAATGCTTGTAAGTTGAGGATTACCTATTTTGCACTGCCTGTGGCTCTTGAGAATGCAACGCTCCTGACTTCGCTAGCGGAGATCAAGTGGTATTCGTGGCTTGTTCCCAGATCCCACCCTGCCTCCGTCACCCTTCTGCCAGCCTGATGGGATCTGTAATCGAACCAGTCTGGAGGGACTCATATTGGGGGTGTTAGACTGGGGTCCCCAGTTCCGTAAGCCAGTGGCACTGATTCCCTGCTGTTTTCCAGGCAGTCCCGTCTCCTCCCTTCCCGAGACAGTCTTGCTGATGGACAAAGTGCCCCCACCGTCCCGCTCCCTGCAACAAGGGCGGAATCTCTACACCGTCATCAACGCCGTGCCCGTCCGACGGTGGAAAGAGTTTGTGAGGGGCCTGGGGCTGCAGGACGGCGAAATCGAGCTGGTGGAACTGGAGCACTCTCAGTTCCGCGAGCAGCAGTACGAGATGTTGAAACGCTGGTGTCAGCAGCGGGGTGCCTCGTTGGAGGCCATTTTGGACACCCTGGAGGCCATGCAGTTGGGCGGCTGCGCCCAGGAACTGAGGGAGAAGCTGCAGGTGGAGCATCTGTGGTGCAACCCCTAAGGGCTGACGGTGACGGGGAGGCTGTCCTCATATGGGAAGATACGTCGCGGTCGAGTGGCGGAATGAGACAACTCGTGCAGCCATGACCATCTCGCCGCAGTCCACTCGCTACAACCAACTCGCCACGATCATCTTGCCGCAGCCAACTCACCACGGGACAACTTGGTGCAGAAAACGCACCACAGAACAAGTCGCCGCGGGAAAATTCTATGCGGGATAACTCAACATGATAAATATTACCCGTCACTGTTTCTTGAACATTATTTCCATTTCTCTGGTAATGGGCAAAATAAAAATTATGTCGAAGAAACAGTGGATAACACTTATTGCGTTGAGTTATCCTGCGGGGAATTTTTCCGTGGCGAGTTGTCCTAGACCCACGAGCGTAGTGTTGCTGACGTACAGCTCCTAGCTGGAAATGTTCAGGACTGAACTCCAATGGACGGTACCCAGTTGCTTGAACCCTCGGCCTCATTCACAACTTGCTCGTTCGTCTTCTGTGCAAAAAATACCCCATAGTTTCTCCTTGTGAAGGGAAAATACGAGTGGACAGCGGGCGACGCGCTACCGATATCGACCGAGCCATCAAAAACATATTGCCTGCCGGAGGGCAACTCACTACCTTACTGGCAGAGCCAACTATCTTGTTTTGCCTACCAAATAGGGTCAACGCTGCCGTTGAGACAGATCAGTCCGATATAACGCTAGCCAACTCGAGGTATTACTTGAATTTTATTACGGCATTTGTTTTGAACGCCAGAATGCAAGTAATTCTCGACGTAGAACCAGTCTAAATGTGAATCCGTAGTCCTTGATCCGCCCTGCGATAACCCCGCTGGCTCACATTCGAAAAGCTTAACAACCCTACCTCACAGGGCTGTTGTGACGAGGTTTCGAGGCTCGCTCGCTCTGGAGGGTTCAGGCACTGCAACAGGTGTAGTAGACATTGTATGTCACTTTTTAAATCAACGTTTAATCTGTCCTCCTGGAGGACAAGGCAACGTTATTCTGGAGAGCAGTTTTTTCTCACTGTGAATCACAAAAAATTTTTTAGAGACAAACACGGTGTGTGTGTATATATTATATATTTGTGTGTGTGTGTCTCTGTGTATTAACTCCAGCCTTTTTGGAGTGCCTCCTCACGCACTTAATAATAATAATAATAATAAAACTTTAATACATTTGCTGGTCCCACCTGTGAATTCTTTGATCTGCAAGGTGCCTGGAGTTCCACAATTAAGAATGGTGATAAATTAAGGTTTTACCAAACCTTTGTAATGATTTGTCTTTGTAATTCTGCACTTGATATGGCCCAAAGGGCTGATCAATAAATAAAATTGAATTGATAAATTAAGGCAGGCTGTTGAATCGTAGTTAAGCCGGTACTTTGCATGCAAACAAATCTTGGTTTAAAGGCTGATGTTTCCAGGAAGTCAGTTTTACATACCGGTAGTCTTCGATTTACGACAATTGAGCCTGAAATTTCGGTTGCTAAGCGAGATGGTTGTGAAGTGAGTTTTGCCCCCGTTTTACGACCTTGCTTGCCACAGTGAATCCCTGCCGTTGTTCAGTTAGTAACCCAGTTGTTAACCGAATCTGGCTTCCCCATTGACTTTGCTGGTCAGGGGATCACATGACCTTCCGGGACAGTGCAACTGTCATAAGTACATGCCAGTTGCCAAGCCCCTGAATTCTGATCACATGGCCAAGGGTCGTAAGTGTGAAAAATGGTCCTGAGTCACTTTTTTCAGTGTAACTTCAAACAGCCACTAAGTGAATGGTTGTAAGTCCAGGACTACTTGTAGTGACCTCACCAGCATTGGCCAATCGGTGCTCAGCAGTGGAAAATTTGGGCCATTTGCAAATTTTTATTTCTTTTTTTCCCCAGAATTTGCTTTAAGACAGGGTCGATCTTCAGAACAGACCAGATATTGGTTTAAAATTAAATCTTTGCAGTTGCATGATTAAAGTCGCCTGTATTGAATGGACAACAGACCAGCATTTGAACAAAAGAAATTTAGATAAATGAGGAATCGAAAGGGAAAGATCCTGAAAGGATCTGAGTTTGGGTTGACGGACATTTAGCGAAACGAGTGAACGAGAGGGACAGGTCCCAAAAGGATTTGGGTTTGGGTTGAACGAGTAGACATTTCGCAGAACGAGAGATCGAGAGGGACAGATCCCAAAAGGATTTGCGGTTCAACAAATGGAAATTTAACAAAACAAGTGATCGAGAGGGACGGATCCCAAAAGGATTTGAGATCGAACGAATGGAAATTTAACAAAACGAGTGATAGAGAGGAAGACATCCTTGGTGGATCTGGGTTTGGGTTGAACGAGCAGACATTTCGCAGAACGAGCGATCGAGAGGGACAGATCCCAAAAGAATTTGGAGTCGAACAAATGAAAATTTAACAGAACGACTGATCGAGAGGGAGAGACCCTGGATGGATCCGGTGACAAGCGTAGAAGATCTGGAGACTGCGAACCAGAAGACACGGATCTTTGCTTTTCCTGCAGCCGCCAGGCTCCAGGATCAAAACGGGCATCCCCCAAAGTGCGGAGAAGGGTTAATATTTCACCATATCTCCTTTTTTGAGGATAATCTGCCTTTGCCACGGGGTCAGTTTGTTCTCGTCAAAGCCGAGAGTCTTTAGTTTCTCCACTTGTTCCTTCTCCTTCTCTTCCTCGATCCTTCGCAGTTTTTCTTCCTCTCGTCTGTCGGAAAAGAAACGAAAAGAAGAAACAGAAGATTAAACAGAAAGAAGATACAGAATGCTACCAAACGTGGAATTTATTTTATCAATGGCTGGGGAAAAAAGGGGTAAAGATTAGGAATATATGTATTTTATTTTATTTTATTTTATTTATACAACCCAGACAACACAAATGTTTATTAAGCATGTAATATGCAATGTAACTTTCACAGATGTAAGAATCTACATGTTTGAAACGTGATAAATAGTATAAACTTGTATAGAGATAAGGCGTTGTATTAATTATAAGGCAAAACTTGACGAAAATGGTTAAACGGGAGACGCCACACCATGTCCAATGTTTTTAATTTGTATTACTAATAAAAACCTTTTTTTAAAAAAAAAGCATGTAATAGTAGAAAATTAATAAAACTTTATTTAAAAAAAAGAAAAGAAGCCAGAGGCCGATAGAGTTAGTGACATGCCCAGCGCATCCCAAAGCCCCTGGTTTATTTATTTTTAATCTATCATAATATAGGCAGATAGTCCTAGACTTACAACAGTCCGTTTAGTGACCATTCAAAGTTACAACAGTCCTGAAAAAAGGAATTTAGGGCTGTTTTTCACCCTTACGACCGTTGTAGTTATCCCCAGGGTTGTGTGATCCAAATTGAGACACTTGGCAATTAACTGGCTCATATTTATGACGGTCACAGTGTCCCGAGGTCACGTGATTTTATGACCTTCCAACAAGCCAATTCAATATATTTTTCTATCGAGGCATCTGGTCTACCCCAGCATGTGGGAGGGAAAATCCTGCTTTCCTTTCGCCTTTCAGCTCCAATCCAGGAGCCCTCAAGCAGTCGCATTCACGACAAACCATTTTATACCAAATTTATATTTATATATATATGTGTAAAACAAAAAAACAGACATTTTGCGAGCTCTGGAACTAAAATAATTAAAATTTTACTCTACTAAGCTGTCATCAGCCATCTGCTGACATTGTCAAGAGTATTAAACTACTATTACAGAGATCTCTGCTTTTATATTCGTATTTTATATAATACGTTCCTATTTCATCAAGCTGGCCTAACCTAAATTTTCCTCTTTTTAAATGGGAATTTTAAATTTGGTTTTAAATTATTGGGGTTTTAAAATGGTTCAGCCAAATTTATTTAATTTGTTTTATCTCTATTTTAAATTTTGTATCTATATGTTTTATTTTATGGCTGTTCACCGCCCTGAGTCCTTCGGGAGTAGGGCGGTATACTAAATAAATAAATAAATAAATAAATAAATAAATAAATAAATAAATAATAAATAAATAAATAAATAAATAAATAAATAAATAAATAAATAAATAATATGCCGTTAGTTCTGGAGCTCGCAAAATGTCTTTTTGCTGTACTTTTTTGTTTTACAAATATACCTGGAACTCGTATTTTTAGAATAGTTTGCAATATGTATATATAAATATAATGTATAATTAAATATATATTTATGTGCGTGTATGTATATATAAATATATAATTAAATTTTTATGGCACCCATCACCCCTACAAGGTGACTCCGGCCAGGTTTTATTATCTTCTTCCCGTCCAGCGGTGATGTTTTCCAACCCTCGAACGCTCTTTCGTCTGGATCCACGTCCTATCCAGCCCAAGGCTGTGCCTGATGGGTCCAGGGACTCAGACGCCTTATGCAGAGAAAACGGGCACACAAACCAAAACATTTAGCCGCCTTGCCGAGACTCACCGTTTTTGCAACCTGCAAAAGAAAGAAACAAACCACAACAGACAGGTTAGTCTTGAAAAGTAGAAGTGCATTGTGGGGTTTCACACCACGCCGAACAGACTGATAGGTTCGATGCTATCGAAAATGCGGGAACAACAATCGCACACTTCTTTGTTTCTCCCGGATCAGTTTCGGAAGAAGCAGCAAAATACTGAGGATGTTACCTAGTTGGGTCATAAGACGTCTGCAAGGAAACCATCAAGCTCAGAGGGGATCAAGAAGTCATCGTCCTCCTCCTCCTCCTCCTCCTCCTCCTCCTCCTCCTCCTCCTTCTTTATGCAAACCCTACTTCCTTCTAATACTGAGGATGTTACCTAGCTGGGTAATGAAACATCTACCAAGAAAACCACCAAGCTCAGAGGGAACCAAGGAGCCCGCAGGTTCTCCTCCTGCTCCTCCAACACCACTACCTTCTATCCCTGATGATGTAACCTACTTGGGTCGTGAAACGTCTGCAAGAGAAACCACCAAGCCCAGAGAGGACCAAGGACCCCCCCGAGTTCAACCCCGAGCTACAAATTCTTCTCTCCTATCGATTCTTACCTCTCCTCTTCCATCTTTTTCCGGAAAATATCCCGTCTCCAAGCTGGCATGCCAGCCAGACGGGCCTCATCTTCTCTTTCCTGGAGAGACAAGACGAAGAAAGGAAGAAGAAGAATCAACACCCACCGAGTAGGAAGGCGTTGAGAAAAGAAGAAGGGGAGATGCGGGAAGGAAAGAGAGCGGTGACCTTGCTGGAAATATACAATATTACCTTTCAGTAAATGAAAAACGGATGAAACGTTTTTTAGGTCCAGAGAAAAGGATAACATTTTGGAGGCGATTCGGACAAACACCTCCCTACTCTGCAGAAGTATAAGGGGGTGAAATTCAGCACAATTAGGCTTGTTCCCTCATTATAACCAATCTCAATAAAATACAGGTAGTCCTTGACTTATAATCATTTGTTTATCGACCTTTACAAGTCCTGGGGAAAGTGACTTACCGTCCCTTATGACTTTTGCCGCATCCCCATAGTCAAATCTGGGCATGTATTTACAACCGTTACTACTACAACCAGTAGTAACAAAATATGAAACCCTCCTCTGGTTGCATTTGCGATTTCCCAGCCGGTTTCCGATAAGTCAATGGGGAAGCCAGATTCGTATAACGACCATGTGACTCACTTAACCACGGCAGCCATTCCCATAACACACAAACACACACAAAAAGTCAAAAAATTGGATGTGACTCACTTAGCAAGGGAAATTCTGGTCTCCATTGTTGTCGTAAGTCAAGGACTACCTGTGTAGCGGTATCTTTCAATGGGTAGGAGGGTGTCTCTTTACCGGTGAAGGATTTCTTTTTAGAGGAAGATGGGGGTGGAAATAAATTTCATGGGGTGGCCGAGAGTGGTGGGGTAACCCCAAATCTATTTTTCTTCTTATTTATCTGTAGCTCGTTCGTCTGCAACTTTTTCAAGGTGTGTGACCCGTTTTCGAATTACGTGGATTTTCTAGCTAATCCACATCCCCTTTGCCTCGAGCAGGGGGATGGACTAGATGACCTCCCAGGTACCTTCCAACTGTGCTATTCTGCAAAAGCAAAAGTTAAACTGCACTGCAAAAGTGACTTAGGACCATTTTACACACTTATGACCAGTGCAGGTGATCAAAATTCAGAGGCATCCTAACAAATCATGGGTTCTCTTAACAATTGCGGTGTTCATTTAACAGCCACCACGCAAAAAGGCCATAAAATTGGATTGATCTGTGAGCTGGGGAAATTCTGGGAGTTTGAAGTCCACCCCTCTTAAAATTGCCAAGGTTGTAAAATGCTATTTTAAAGCAAGTTGGAGCCCCCGTTTCACTTTAAAAATACTTCCAATGTTGGGTACTTTTAAAACTTCGCTGTACAACGATCTGATACAACGGTAAATGAAATTAAAATTCCCACTGGACATAAAGCTATCGATTTCACTGAGGTTCAAGGCTTAGACAAAAAAGAGCTGCTTTTTTAATTCGTTCGCTTTTTATCCCTGAATAAAAAAGATCTCTAAAACGTCGAGAATCCGTGCCACTAAAATTTGCTTCCATTGTGTTTGGAAGTCAGAGTCAAAAATGAATTATTCAGATTATTTTTTTATGCGGTGTTTGGCTCGTCAATCGCTGATTGGAGGCTAGGATCAAGATTTGTAAAGTCTAAACAAACACAGGGCGTAGAAATGAAAATACCCTGATGCATTTTAGCTCCTTTGTCTCTCTCTCTGCAATGACAAAAAATGCCCATTTTTTTTTGCACACAACAATATTTTATTTCTTCAGACAAACTTCAGGGGGGAAAAAAAAGCAATTTTCCATCAAAATGAAGCCGGTTCCCCAATTTAATTGAGGATGTCCCCCTATTTTTAGTAGTAAGTGATGATAATCATAAGAAAATAATTAGAAAAACTTGCATAATAACACACACACAAAAAGGAGCCATTGCACTTTGGCCAGGATAGGAGAGCACGCCAACAAATCGCACACTCGGGGGCCAAAGAGATGTTAATTTCTCTCTTCGCATTAAAATTGTGGCAAAGTAAATTGTTTCAGGATCCTACCATCCTTCTCTGGTGGGGGGGAAGGGGTTGAAAAGAGAATTGATGGAACTATTAAGGGAAGGATAATCAATATTTCTGAAATAAATTACATTGACACACCATCAACTCTAAAACCACCTCATTCGCTGCAAAATGACTTGGTAGAACTCTACTGTGACGTCTGAATGATGTTGCGTGGAACACGTGATTGTCACGCAAGCTACGTGGACGAGGCACGGATGTCATTTGGCGTCACAGTGCACAAAGCTTCGGTTCCCTGCCCTGTGGAAGCTTGTCCATGCGCACTCTACGCACCACACGTTAATCCCATGCGTTGAATCTGCACAACATGACTAAGGTACAATGGATCCTGCTTAGTAGCAGTAACAGAGTTGGAAGGGACCTTGGAGGTCATTTAGTCCAACCCCCTGCTCACGCAGGACACCTGTATTAGGGATTCGAACTCCCGACCTTTCTGATTGACAAGCTCAGTGTCTTAGTCACTGAGCTACCTAGTCAGTTTTGGTGACTGAGTGTGTTGCACATCTGGCATAAATTGATTTTTTTTAAAAAAAAACTAGATACGGGGTCCTGTTTGGTCCTAAACGCCCTCCCTGTCTGATTGTGCCTTTATCTGCTTCAAACTTTCTTGATCCCCAAATCATCCAATAACTAAGCGTCCTTGTACAGTACAACTCTTCTATTTGTTTTTCCTTCTACTCAAGAGTTGAGTAGGAAAGTGGCTAATGGTAGCTTTCTTTCCACCTGCCCAAAGGTCCCACACAAGTTCTGCTGTCGTTGTATGTGCAAGGAGCACATCACAAAGATGAAGAGTGAGTTCCGTTCAGGGCTGCAGCTCTACATATGCCTTGGAACGGTAGTGATGTTCTTCGTGGATCTGAGAATCGGGTGCAGCAGATCTTGAGGGAACTCAACTGTGGTCCATTTGCTTGGTCCACCAAAGTCCTAGCTAGGAGAACCTAACCGTCTTACCAATGTTATTTGCAAGTGTAATCAAAGTCACTTTCTGGATTGGTGAAGGACCGGTTCTAGATTGAACAGATCCGTGTTTAAGAAGCTATCTTCTGCAGATATATTCTCCAACCACCCAGGAAGCTGGAGCCTCAGATGTCAAACATCTCGGCCTCCTTCTCTTTCCAAAACGAGAAGCTACGGTCTATATAGCGGCAAATGTCATCGTTGCTGAATTCTCCAAGCTCTGAAATGAGCTGGATGGAATTCTTCCTACTCTTTAGAGCTGGAACAACAGCTAGCTCGTCTGCAACGGACGTGGGCTCTTGGGTGCTACTGATCAAGGACAGAGAGGATTCCTGGTGGGAGAGAATAGGGGGAGAATGTAGGGTTTCGGCCGGGACATCCACACTGGGTGTGGTCCCATGATCCACCACCAGGTTGTCTCTGAAGAACCTCTGCTTGAGGTCCTCAAAGCCATCCAGCCAATCCCTCTTCCCAGCCTCTACTTCCTCCATCACCACTTTGTGAAAGTGGCGGATGAAGTCCCAGCTGTGGCTGCCCAGACGGTCGAACATCTCGTAGCAGAGCAGGTGGCGAAACTTGCGTTCCTCCCGGCTCATGTCCATCTCCAGCAGCTGGAAGTAACCTAGCATGAAGAGGTCCAAGGTGAGGCTATCGTACTTCACCGGTGAGCCGTCGACGTGCGGCAAAAAATGTTCGGGCCAGTAGAAAATGTCGACATGGCTCAGGCGGCGGATCTGTCTGGTAGGAACCTGGCTGATGATACTTCTCCAGTGAGTGAGCAGCTTGCCCACCACTTGACGCTGCTTCATGAAGTACAAGAGCTGGTGGTCCTCGCTGGGTTTCGGCTCTGAGACTGTCAACGCAGACCGGTTATACACTTGGTCGTCTACCTCCAAATCAGGACCCGACATCTCCCTTATCCTCCTTGGCTGGACCTGCCTGCTCGAATAGATGAAGGTCCACCTCTTCCAGTGCTCCAGGAAAAGGTAGACAATCCGTTCCTTTCTCAGGTCGATGTAGTCTTGGATGCAACTCAGGTCCGTCTGCACTGGAAGGCTCCTAGTCATGTGGTCAGGGCTGAACATGGTTTCTGCAAAGGAGTCTCCTCTGGAGAACGAGCTGGGTCTCACCTCATACAGAAGAGGCGCATGGGACAGCTGAATGGGGGGTTCCAGACCACCGATGGAGGCTTCCTCATCTTCCAGGACAGTGAATGGCTCCAGGCCCATGACGTAGTCTTCTTCCAAAATGGGCTCGCATCCGAGAGTGAACTGGGCTGTTCCCACCGGCAGAGAACGCTTCCTTTTGTACACCCGATTGGTTGCTTCGCTGATCAGCTGCGCCTGCACATGGACCTCGTAGTTGGCTTTCAGATTCTTCACCGACACCCCCCACTGCATGATCTCCTTCTCCACCTCCTCCCTGGTGCAACTGAAGGACTGAGAACGGGCTATGTGGCTCGGGCCGTCTTTGAACGTTGGAGCTGCGGAGGGGAGCGCCTGGGCGTCTTCTGCCTTCTGCGCCAATGCTTCAGAGGTCACCAGGTCAGCCAGGCTGGTGGCTTTGCCACCCAGCGTGGCCAGCAGGATGGACATGCTTTTCAAGAGGATGGAGATCTTGTTGCACCAACCCGGGAGATCCTCCGCCCGGCCGTGCATGCACTTGGGGTTGACAGTGAAGTGTTCCTTCGCTAAGGCAGCCGAGACAGGCAACAGCTGCTGCAGCTCCTGTTCCAGCTGTTCCAGTTCGGTCTCGACTTTCTGCACCTTGTGCACGACTTGAAGGTTCTGGATCTGCTTCTCGATACGAAGGATGTCGTCTTCGGTCATCAGTTCCCCGAAAGGTCCCAAAATGGCGTTGTGAGCATGGGAATACCGCCAGCCTTCCTGGGGGTAGCAATTCCCAGATCGTAGCTACGCAAGACAAAAAGAAAGCACAACCCAGAGGGCGAGGAGGGTCCCTCAGGACGGGCCACTACATCGTCCGCGTTCTGCACACCCTCTTCGCCTTACATGTTACTTCGTGGTGTAATGAGAACGGAGTGCTTGGCTAAAAACTCCGTGCGGGTGAGACAAGCCTGCCAGGAGAAGGTGAGTGGAAAACTGGACGGCCGTATCGGGAGAGAAAGACCAATACTTGTCTGATCGGGTGGATAGGCATGCGAGAGAATCGCGCAAGGACACCACGGCATTAATGGCAGGTGCCGCGAGAAGCATTCACACGTTACACCATGAAGCGGTCATGTAAGGCATTTAATTCCTGCAGTATCTGGCAGCAAGGTGTCGAAGAGAGCTTTTGGATGCACAGGTCGAATTTCGGTAATCTGGTGGGAAAGGTTTTGGGAAGTCGCCGAATATCTGCGGCCGACATTTTCACCGCCACCACCGCTGTGCAGAGTGATACCGGTCCTCGCCTGGCCCATAGTGCAGGTTAAATGAGCTTCAGAGTTGGTCACACCAGGTCAGCGCACACAGCCATGCAGAGAACACGCCGGAGCACCGCAAGCAAAGTAGAGACAAGTCAGAAAGGAAGGACCCCACTTTCTCTCAATATGGCCTTGAGGGTCTGCAAAAGACTTTTTGACTGTGAATCTCCATTTACGGGGCCACAGACCTTGCCAATCTCAGAGAACACCAAGGAGCCTTCAGCCTTCCTCCTCCTCCTCCTCCTCCTCCTCCTCCTTTCTTCAACCCCCCCTCCCTTCTAGCTCTGATGACATCACCTAGATGGGTAATAAATCATCTGCAAGAAAACCCCCAAGCTCAGAGACCACCAAGGACCCCACAGAACCAGCAGGAGTCAAGTGTACGTTAGAGGAATCAACAGTCTGGCCACGGAACCAGCTGATCTTGAAACCCTACCCCCCACCCCCCACATGTGCTCCTACTGGACCATCTTCTTGCCTTTGAAGACAAGATCTAGGTTTATGTTTTTCTTGGGGTCCGGACTGAGGATCCACACGCAACGGAAATGGGATCACAGCACACCATCACACCATGTCGCCCCGTGTCTGAGCCATTTACCTGGCGTCTCTGCTCTTCCTCTTCCTGGACCTTCATCTGTAGCTTACGCAGCATCACTTGTCTTTTCCACTCTGGGAGGGGCCTCCCCTGCTCATCGTGCGTGGGGATCAGGCCCTCCAGGTCCGTGTGGCCGGTTGGGGTCCCGAAGGGGCTCATAGAACCGTTGATCTCCAGCTTGGGCGAGCCGGAAGCTCTGAATCCGGAGGCTTCCTCGGGAGTAGAGGGGGGCGTTGGCGTCCCCGCGGGGGACGAGGAAGCGGTAGGGAACTCAGCCTGTTGAAGGAGGGGAAAAGGTGGGCGGCGTCAGCGAAAAGCAGAGCTTGGAAATAATTCTAGCTTTTATCTTTAAAAGTAGCCCCCAATTTACAACTGCTCACTTAGTGACTGAAGTTAGGATGGACCTACCTAGGAGGAACTTTTGACATGGATATGAAGTTCTGATGGCTGCCCAACTTCTCTCTGAAGTCATGTGACTACAATTTGGGTGCTTGACATTTTCTTTCTTTCTTTCTTTCTTTTTCTTTCTGTCTTATTGTCTTTCTTTTTCTTTCTTTCCTTCCTTCCTTTCTTTTTTTCTTTCTTTCTTATTGTCTTCCTTCCTTCCTTTTTTCTTTCTGTTTTATTGTCCTTCCTTCCTTCTTTCTTCCTTCCTTCCTTCCTTCCTTCTTTCTTTCTTTCTTTCTTTCTTTCTTTCTTTTTTCTTTCAGGTTTATTGTCTTTCTTTCTTTCTTTCTGGTTTATTGTCTTTCTTTCTCTCTCTCTCTCTCTCTCTTTCTTTCTTTTTTCTTTCAGGTTTATTGTCTTTCTTTTTTTCTTTCTTTCTGGCTTATTGCCTCTCTCTCTCTCTCTCTCTCTCTCTCTCTCTCTTCTCTCTCTTCTCTCTCTCTTTCTTTCTTTCTTTCTTCTCATTCATTCATTCATTCATACCTTAAGCTGCCTTTAGTTATTTTACAAATAAGGTGGCAAACACCTTCCTGCCTTAAGCCAGGGAAGCCAGGGAACTTCGAACAGTCACTAAACGAAGGATTGCAAGTCAGGAATTATTTCTACTCCGGGCTCAAGGAAGAGAAATAAAAACAGACCGGATGAAGAGGGACCCAATTTCCAGGCAGAACTTACGTTGGTGCCCACTTGGCCACAGCCAAAGAAGATGGTGGTGAATCCCTTACTTTGAGGGTTGGCTTCAAATTCTTCCCGGCTTTGATTTCGGCCAGCAGCTCCGAATTGTCGGCCGTCGGGGACATCATGTTAAAAGATTTGGTGCCTGTGGGGCAGGAGAAGAAAGGAAGCCATGGTTGACATCAGGGCACTTGGGAAGGACGCGGGCAAAGAGACGGGAAGGAGCACGGCGGGAACGGAAGACAAAATGCAGAAAACTGGCCGTTTGCAATTCAAATGATGGTTTTCATTGCTTTCAAGTGTTTTTAAAGATTTTAATTATAATGTATGTTTCTGAATGGTGAGTTGCCCAGAGTCGTTTGCTGAGATGGGCAGGTATAGAAATAAAAATAAATAAAAATAGACTAAAATCATATGATAAAATAAATAAATAAAATAAAACATAAAATAAATAATGAATAGAATAGAAAATAGAACAGAAAATAATAAGAATAGAATAGAATATAGAAAATAAGAATAGAATAGAATAGAATAGAATAAAATAGAATAGACCTCTCCAAGGTCCCTTCCAACTCTGTTAATCTGTTAAATCCCTTTTTTTCAAGGCCGTTATAACTTTGAACAGTCACTAAATGACGTAAGTCGAGGACTATCTATGTGTCCCTTTTTACAACATTTTTAAAATCTGCTTTTCTGCAGCTGGGCTTGTGGCTGTCTCAAAGGCCAAAGATATATTTTCCTAAAACAATAACACGGAATTTAAAAGCAAGGCAGGCTGATTGGTCCAGCTGGGAAACAATGCAAATTTTAAACCTTTTTGTTTGTGTGTGTGTGTGTTTGGCACCTATGCAAATCAGAAACCTTTGTCTACATTGGGCCGATTCAGGACCTGCAGGGAAGTTGGAAAATCAGCCCGTTGGGGATGCAAAGTTTGAAAGCGAGTTCCCAAGAATTCAGTTTCCATTCTGTAGCCAGCTGGGTGACTTTGGGTCAATCGATGAGACAGGGTTTCCTGCCTGAGCAGGGGGTTGGACTAGAAGACCTCCAAGGTCCCTTCCAACATTCTATTCTGTTCTATCCTATATCCTATATTCTATTCTATTTCTCTATTTCTTTTCTATTCTATCCTATATTCCTATCCTATCCTATTATAATGTATTTTATTCTGCTATTCTATCCTGTCTTGTCCTGTCCCATCCTATCCTATCCTATATTCTATTCTATTCTATTTCTCTATTTCTTTTCTATTTTATTCTATATTCCTATCCTATCCTATTCCATTCCATATTTTCTATCCTATCCTATCCTATATTCTATATTCTATTCCATTTCTCTATTTGTTTTCTATTCTATATTCCTATCCTATCTTAATGTTCTGTTCTGTTCTGTTCTGTTCTGTTCTGTTCTGTTCTGTTCTGTTCTGTTCTGTTCCATTCCATTCCATTCCGTTCTGTTCTAGGAGACTGGGAGTTCTAGTCCCACTTTAGGCATGAAAGCCAGCTGGGAGACTCTGGGCCAATCCCTCTCTCTTAGCCCAGACCGCCTCGCAGGGTTGTTGTGCTGGGGGAAAAAGAAGAAGTGGAAGATGCGTTGGATATGTTTGCCACCTTGAGTTATTTGTAAAAAAATAACCGAGGCAGAAATGAATAAAGAAAATAAACAAAGGAAAAGAAAGAAAATGATGAAAGAGAAAAAATGAACCAGAGAGAACATCAACCCTTCATAGGAGGGTGGGGAAATAGTTCTTTTTCTCCATTTATAAACCCTTGCCAAGGGAGTGCAACAAAGCCCATCCTCCTGGGCCAGGGAGGGGGAGATCTCTGGATACTGACAAGTGTCAAAACCTCCTGGGGGGAGAGGTTGAAAAGAGCAGGAGTCGCAAAAAGGGGAAGGCATTAACAGTCTACTTTGGAAAACGAGATGCCATTAAGTGATGCCAACTGAGGCTGGTTCCAGGGCTAATTGGCACACGGCAGGGATGCCAGCCAAGCTGGGACCTCCAGGAAGCTCTGGGGACCAAACAAATGTTCGGAAAGTCACGTGGGGGCCCTCGCTGAGCATCGTGCACGCTTGAAAAGAGCCCTGAGTGAATTTCTCCTGGGTAGAGAAACAAGAGAAAAAGGTTTGGGTGGAAAACAGAAAGGGCATCCAGGATTGGAGGTTCTGGCTCAATGGAAGGAGAGGGAAGAGAGAAAGAAAGAAAAAAAGGGGGGAGAGAGAGAGAGAAAGAAAAAAGGGAGAGAGACAGAGGAAGGAAGGAAGGAAAAAAGTAAACAAAACAAAGAAGAAAGAAACAAAGGAGGAGGAGGAGGAAGAAAGGAAGGAAAGAAAGAAAGAGTAAACAAGACAAACAAAGAAGAAAGAAAAAAGGAAGAGGAGAAGGGAGGGAGGAAGGAAGGAGAGAAAATAAATGAGAGGGAAGAAGAAAGAAAAGGGAGGGAGGGAAAAAAGGAGAGAGAAAGAAAGAAAAGGAGAGAGGAAGGAAGAGGAAGGAAGGAAGGAAAAAAGTAAACAAAACAAAGAAGAAAGAAACGAGGAAGAAAGGAAGGAAAGAAAAAGAAAAAAGTAAAGACGAACAAAGAAGAAAGAAAAAAGGAGGAAGAGGAGGAGGGAGGGAGGAAGGAAGGAGAGAAAATAAATGAGAAAGTGAGAGAGAAAGAAAGTAAACAAGAGAAACAAGAAAGAGGGAGGGAAGGGAAGGAAAGAAAGAAGGAAGGAAAGAAAAAGAAAGAAAGTTTTTCATTTGAGGTTTTTTACCTTAAATACATGGTAATGTTTCCGGTTTGGCCAACAGGCTGTTTTTTTGAGAAAATGAAACTTATAATTTCCTTCATCAACAATTTCTCTGATTTTTGCATATCAAGACTGCTTGGCGAAAGAGAGAGAAGGGAAAAAAACCCAGAAAGATGACTCAGCCAGTCAAAAAAAAAAAACCCGCAGACATTTTCTCATCTTTCTGTTCCTGGAAACCACCTGCCCCCAAATCAAATGACGGAAAACCAAACCTATCACTGGCCCAAATATTAACCTCCAGAAAACACAAAATCGAGCCTCTTTCTTAGGAGCAGTCTACCTGACATGCCAAAAGACGCTGGGCTGGGCAGAATTTGACCCAGGGATGCTGCAATGGTCGTAAGGGCGAGGAGAGGTCATAAGCCACTTCTTTTCAGTGCCGAACTTTCACCAAATGAATGAGTTGCAAGTTGAGGACTTTTGGGTGGCTGAATTTGCACCCAGGACCGCTTCTAAGATTTTGAGTGGGGGGTCTGAAGGGAAAAGACTTACTTCCAGTGGAAGAAGAGGACCTTCGCTGGCCGGTTGAGGGAGGTGTGTGCTCCGCAGGCAGGGGAGGAGGGGGAGGCGGGGAGCAGCCCCCCTCGGGGAGGGGGGGAGGCGGGGGAGGGGCCTCTCCGGTGGGCGTCTTCTCCGCCATGCTTCCGTTGTGTACTTTCTGGCTGGAGAGAAGCGGAGCCTGGAGGGTGGGGCATGAAAAGAAAAATCAGCAATGAAAAGACACCCCCCCCCCAAATGCTCGCCACCGGTCCCATTTAACCAATCAAGCCATCTGCTTTTATTTAAATTATATATATCTATATCCCGCTATCAGCCCTGCGAGGTAGTCCTGAGTAAACGCACGCTCGGAAGTACTAGTTGTTACTTTAATGTAAGGTTGCGTTGAGAGAATCTCACAATTCTGAAAGTGCCTTTCTCCGCCCCCGTGTTTACAGCCTAAGAAACTAGGGAGGGTCCCTTCTGAGGTGCTTTCCCCCCCCCCCACCCCTAACCTTACCCCCCCCACACCCTTTTCCTTCTGGGGGGCTCAGCTGCCTCTATCTAACCATTGTCAAGTCTGAGTCTCTTCCTCCTGTCTCCCAAGGCCATTCACACCAACTATATTTCTGCCCCCTCCTCTTTATAGTCAAAGAAACTAGGGAGGATCCCTTCTGAGTGCTTCCTGTGTCCCTTTTTCATCCGTGGGCTCAGCTGCCTCTTATCTGATTATTGTCTAGTCTGTGTCTCTTCCTCCTATTTCTCAAGGTCTTTCCCACAGACCATTACAGTATTTCTGCCCCCTCCTCTTTACCGCCAAAGAAACTAGGGAGGGTCCCTCCTGAGATGCTTCCCAAGCCCCTTTTCCATCCGTGGGCTCAGCTGCCTCTTATCTGATTGTTGTCTTGTCTACATCTCTTCCTCCTGTCTCCCAAGGCCATTCCCATAGACCACTGCAATATTTCTGCCCCCTCTTCTTTATAGCCAAAGAAACTAGGGAGGGTCCCTTCTGAGATGCTTCCCACATCCCTCTTTCTTCTAAGGGTTCGTTTGCCTCTTATCTGATTATTGCTCTTCCTCCTGTCTCCCAAGGCCATTCCCACAGACCATTGCAATATTTCTGCCCCCTCCTCTTTACAGCCCAAGAAACTAGGGAGGGTTCCTTCCAAGATGCTTCCTGGGCGCTTTTTTTCCCTTCTGAGGGCTCAGCTGCCTCTTATCTAACCGTGGCCTAGATTGCAGTTTTGCCAGATTGGAGAAAAACTCAAGTGGAGAACTGGGATCCGTTCTGGTTCTGCAGATTTCCTGGGCCGTCTATCCGTGGTTCTGACTGGATCCCCAAAAACAGATTCTCACCTCCTCGCTGTGGGCCATCCTGGACGTTCTCCTGTTCTGCTCTCCACCTCCGCCGTTATCCAGACGTTTGTAGTAATCCCCCGTACTCGGCTGTTTGCTGAATCTTCTGGATCTCCTGCTGGAATCCGTCCGTTGCAGTTGTTGGCAGGTGAGCTAAATAATAATAATAATAATAACCAGCGTTGTTAAGTTGGATCCCGGATGCCAGGAGGGAAACTAACTTTGGCAGTTGGCAAAGATTTGCACCAAATGATATTTTTTTGGACATATTTTACTTTTTCCTTCCTTCCCTTCCTTCCTTCCTTCCCTCCCTCCCTCTTTCCCTCTTTCTTTTCTTTTCTTTTCTTTCTTTCTTTCTTTCTTTCTTTCTTTCTTTCTTTCTTTCTCACCCTCCCTCCCTCCCCTTCCCTCCCTCTCTGCCTTCCTCTTTCTTCCTTTCTTTTCTTCCTTTTTTTCCTCCCTCCCTCCCCCTTCCTTCCTTCCATCCCTCCCTCTCTGCCTCCCTCTCTCTCTTTCTTTCCTTCCCTCCCTCCCCCTTCCTTCCTTCCCTCCCTGCCTCCCTCCCTCCCTCTTTCTTTTTCTTTCTTTCTTTCTTTTATTTTTTTCCTTCCTTCCTTCCTGTCTTGTACTGTTTTCCGCTTTTTATCTTTTCATATTTTCCCCCCTTTCCGATTTTCTCTTCACCTTCTGTAGTTTATAATCCCATACAATATCCCTCCCTCCCTCCCTCCCTCTCTCTCTCTCAATCCTTCTCTTTCCCTCAGTTTCTCTACCATTATATGTCAAATGTTATTGGAGAAAATGCCAATAACAAAAGCCTAGCTGGCATTGTCCTTTCTCTCCACACGCAGGGCCAAATTCCACCTTCTGTTATCAGAAAGCAATTTTTCTGCCCTTTCATTTTTGTCTTTTCAGCACAATTCGCACTGAGGCCCTGGGCCGCAGTGTCATTTATTCTCCTTTGCAGCCCTGGCACCCATTTCCATTGCTAAGTTGTTAAGCGTGCTTTGCTCCGTTTTGTGACTTTTCTTGCCCCAGTTGTTAAGCGAATCGGGCTTCCCCCATTGGCTTTGCTGGTCTGCAGGTTGCAAAAGAGAATCACGTGACTCCGGGACTCTGCGACCGTCATAAATATGAGTCCGTTGCCAAGCGGCCAGATTTTGATCACGTGACCCTGGGGGGGAAGCCGCGACGGTCGTACGTGTGAGAACTTAAGTCGCTGAAACGTCGGTCACCAAACGGACAGTTGTAAGTTGAAGACTAGTTGTGAACAATAGTGAAATAGTGGGAGTTTGCACACTCATGCTCCATTCGGCAGCCTTTGCCGGGAAAACCGAACCAATAAAAGGAATAAAATTCACCGTGTTTTGAGCTACCATTTTTCCGTTTGCAAGCAGCCCTCCATCTCCATCCCTTCTACGCTCCGTTTTTCCTTCCTCTTTTTTTTTTTTGCAAAAGACACTCAGACCGTCCATGTTTAAAAAAGAAAAAAAAAACTCTTGGCAAAGCACAAAAAATGGATTATTTATTTTTATTTTTTTTAAAAAACCTCCTTTTCAAAAGCCACCAATGCCTTCGTCCCCTGCCTATTTTCCCAGATCAATTGAAGCGCCTCAATAGATCAACCCATGTGGCCATTTCCTTTATTTGCAAATTATTTTGCGCTCAAACCCTTCCATTTTCGCACATCATCCCTGCCAGATTCCGCTCCTAACGCCACAAAAGTGTTTTTTTCCCCCCCGTCGTTCTAATCCCAAGCAAAGCTCTAAAAAAGCCTCCAAGACTTAAAATATATATATATATGTATTTTTCTGCCTTGCTTTCAAAAGTTTGCATCTCTTTTGCATCGCCGATCCTTCTCTTCTCACCTAAGCGAGCCAGAAAGAAAATATATATATATTTTTTCTTTAAAAACATATGAATAATTCTGCTGTTGCAGGTTGTCTTACCTGGGCAGGTGAGCGACGTGCCCCTCTGAGTTGCTTTTCCAGCTGCCTTGAAAGACAGAAGACACCTGATACCTGCCTATGGCACACCTGAGACAGGTGAGCCGGCCTCTCTGGTTACAGGGACTTTCGAGTCCATTAGCAACACCCCTTCGCTGCCCCCCCCCGGTGACATCACCTGGATGGGAGGACCAATGGCAGCCCTGTCTAGCGTACACCTGTCTGTCTGTCTGTCTCTCTGTCTGTCTCCGCCAAGCCGTGGGAAAATCCCAAGAGATTTTCACGGGAGGGGAATTCTGGATTCTCCTCCCCTCCCCAATTCTCCTTCTTTGATCCCAAAGAAATCTGGGTTCGGATCCTGGGCGAGTCTGGTTTGCTCGCACACCCAAGCAAAGTCCAGCTTCACAACTCCGGCGCCGGGATGGCGAGAGCGTCGTGCGAGGGGGGAAAAAAAAAATCAAAATGCAAAGTCCGTACCAGTTTTTTTTTTTTATCCCGGCGTAAAGTAGTATGAAAGTTGGCAAAGTTGCAAACAGGGCAGGATGGACAGACCAACCGACCGACCAACCAAGGAAAGGCTGAATTCTTTTTAAAAACAAAAAACCCAAGGATTTTCTAAGTTTAACTGAATCGTACAATTGGAGGGAACCCCAGAGGTCATGTAGACCAACCCGCTGCTCAAGCAAGGGACCGTGTACTGTTCTGTGTCATGGCTGTCCGGTCTCTTCTCTAAAACCTCCAATTATGGAGCACCCACAGCTTCTGGAGGACAGAATCACAAGGTTGGAAGGGACCCTGGAGGTCATCTAGTCCAACCCCCTGCTCAAACAGGAGATCCATTCCAGACCAATGCCTGTCTGGCCTCTTTGCTTTCGTACAACTCGGAGCTGTCCAGCCTCAAGGCAGGACATCTCAGCGACTTACAACTGTCTGTTTAGTGACGGTTTAGTTACCGTGGCACTGAAAACAGGGATTGTTTTCAAAACTTACAAGAGTCAAAATTTAGACTCTCGGCAACTGACCCATATTTATGACTGTCGCAGCATCCCGGGGGGGTCACACGATCCCCTTTGGCAAAGTCAACGGGGAAGCCCGATTCACTCAACAACAGCAGCGATCCACTTAACAACGGTGGCAGGAAAGGTCTAAAATGGTGGGAGACTCACTTAGCAACTGCCCCACTTAGCAACAAAAATTCCGGGCTCAGTTTTGGTCGTAAGTCGAGGACATGTTTCTCAAAACATGGCAACTTGAAAACCGGGGTGGGGTGGGGGGGGACGGACTTCCAATCCCAGAATCCCCCTGGGGCATCTAAGCCCCTCCCCTTAAATTCCTTACCTCTTGTTTGAGGGTTTCACTGTCCACGTGTCGAAGGTTATTTTTGGCTTGGACGTAAATCTCGGCGGTGTGCGGCATTTCGGGGGGGTTCGGCGCCGGGTAGCCTGGTGGTGGGGGGAGGCCCTTGGGGCGAGAGGGGGGAGAAGGCGCTGGGAAATTTGGAGGTGGGGGTGGAGCGGTTTGGCTCCCCGTCTTTGCGGGACCCGGGGCCAGTTCTGGGTTTAGCATGTCCATATAGGTCTGCATATCGGTGAGCGCCGTTTCGGGGACTCCTGGAATAATACAACAACAACAAAAAAAGGAGTTGACTGATATTCAACAGGTAGAGCAGCTTGCAAACGAACTCTACCAGTTGGATGACGGGCTGTTGTTTTGAAAGGTGTGGGGCTGTTCTGGCCAGTCGCAAAAGCCCCGTTTGCTTCTTTGGGAAAATCCCACCACCTTTTGTAAGAACTTGCCTTTTTTTTTTTTTCAAGGTCTCTGCACTAAAAGGCACTCTGCACATGCTCGTGCGAGCTCTGCTTCATAACAAGCAGGAGTTTCTTTGGCTGACTTCACAGAATGAGGCCTGCTGCTTTTCAGTTTAACACATGCTGCTTTAAAGAGTCGCTGAGCCTAAAACCGCACCAGTTTTTTTCCCAAGCGGGTGCCTCTAGCTGGACTACAAAACCCCTCATTCCCAGCCTGCACTGGCAGAGCACCGGGGTGGGGTGGAGGATCGGGGTAACCTTCAGATGCACAGAGACAGGACAGTATGCCAACCATTCCTTAAAAAGCAAGATTTTCTCTCCCCACTTCTTGCAATTTTGTAAGATCGATCGGAAAGGGCACCACCCAGTGATTTACGTCACAAGCTATCCGTGTCATGCTCTGGAAGCGACTGGTCAGTCGTGTCGGATGGCTGAGCGTGGAAGCGGCCCCGACGGTTGCTTACGCGGCCCTGTGTAATTCCTCTTCTCCCCCGTGCTGGATTGACTCGAGTGCGAGGAATCGTAGTTGGAGAAGATGCTGCTCGGAGACCCCATGTCGAAATGGGTCTGGGGGGCCGAGACGGTGGTGTGGGGCGAGGACAGGCCGGAATCCGGCTGCTTGAGTTCCATGTCGGCCGAGGGGTCTCGGGACAACACCCGGTGCTCCACGCTCTACGGAGAAACGAAGGGTTAAGGGAGCCATTCAGGAAGCAGGAGGTGGCTTCACTCGAACCCAGAACCTCCCCGGAAATGATTGTTAAACTCATCCTGGACTTTCTGCCCCCCTATATAATTTTCAGGAGAGGCAGACCAGCCTTCAGGATTTTCCTTCAAAGAATCTTTTTGACGGGTTGAGTTGGGAATTTGGGGTCCCCAAGGAGAAGGGACATGGGATGTCAGTTTTTGCCGGACTGGAACTCTGTAGAGGTTGGGGTTAGACTAGATGACCTCCCAGACCCCTTCCATTCTAAGATTCCGTGCCTTGGTCTGGGTGCTTTGCCTTGAGCAGGGGGTTGGAGTAGATGGCCTCCTGGGTCCCCTCCCTTCTAAGATTTCCTACTTTGGTCTGGATTCTTCACTCAGCTCTTCTAATCCAACCCACAGCTCACGCCGGAGACTCTGGACCATTCTGGTCCAAAGGTTGTCCAATCTCTTCTTGAAGACCTCCAGTGATGGAGCACCCACAACTTATAGTGGCAAGCAGTTCCACTGGTTAATTGTTCTCACTGTCAGGAAATTCCTCCTTCATTCTAGGTTGCTTCTCTCCTTGATTAGTTTCCATCTGTTATTTCTAGTCCGTCCTTCCTTCCTCCCTATCCTTCCTTCCTTCCTTCCTTCCTTCCTTCCTTCCTTCTTTCTTTCCTTTCTTCCTTCCATCCTCCCTCCCTCCCTCCCTTTCTCCCTTCTCTCTGTCTATCATGTCTCTTATCTCTCATAGAATCATAGTATAATCAAAGTATGAAGGCTATTGCTTAACGCATTGTAAGCTGCCCTGAGTCTCCAGAGAAGGGCAGCATATAAAAAAATAAATAAATAAATAATAGAATAGAATAGAGCTGGAAGGGACCTTGGAGGTCATCTAGTCCAACCCCCTGCTCAAGCCAGAGACCCTAGGCCATTTCAGACACATGGCTGTCCAATCTCTTCTTAAAAACCTCCAGTGTTGGAGCACTCACAATTTCTGGAAGCAAGCCAGGTTCCCTTCCGGATTTAAAGGAAGGAGAGGATGGGTGCCTACGAAATTGCCACCTCGGCCCCCAAGTCGTTCCTGCAGATTGCCCCCCCCCTTAAAAGGGCCACCCACCTACCCAGGGACCCCTCTTACGTTGCCCATGATGCCGGGGGAAAGGCTTCTTCTCCTTCTGTCGCAGCCCAAAGCTCCACCGACATCCAGCGTAAAATAACAGGTTTATTTACCTCCCTGGGGGATGCGCGACATCACAGTCGCCCTGGCAGGATTTACACCCGGTGCCCTGGGTAACCAGCAGCTGGTGAATTCCCCCTGGCATTGGGGAGCTTTCAAAAAGCACATTCCCCCCACCCCCTGAAATAAACGGGCCAGAAACACCTGACAATGGAAGAGCCGGCATGGGGAATGGGCGAGAAAAAAATAAATAAGTCACCCATGCAAAATTTAAAATTAAATTAAAAAAGACAAAGAAATTTCGTTGGTTCGTTTTAGGTGAGCCGGGATCAATGCCACATTGGTGTGCAAAGCAACATTTAGTGGTTGCACGGAAGGAAGCCACGGATGTGGCACGTACCATGGGATTGATTGACAGATAGATGATTGATAGATAGATAAATGATAGCTAGATAGATGATAGATATAGATAGATGATAGATAGACAGATGATAGACAAATATAGACATGATAGATGATTGATAGATATGATAGATGGTAGATAGATAGATGATAGATATAGATAGATTATAGATAGACAGATGATAGATAAATATAGACATGATAGATGATTGATAGATAGATGATTGATAGATGATAGATAGATGACAGATAGATTATAGATAGATGATAGATAAATATAGACATGATATATATATAGATAGATGATAGATAAATATAGACATGTAGATGATTGACAGATGATAGATAGATAATAGATAGATAGATGACAGATAGATTATAGATAGATTATAAATAGATAGATAGATTATAGATAAATATAGACATGATATATATATATAGAGAGAGAGAGATGGTTGATAGATGATTGATAGATGATAGCTAAATATAGACATGATAGATGAATGATAGATGATAGATAGATGACAGATAGATTATAGATAGATAGATTATAGATAAATATAGACATGATATATAGATAGATAGATGATTGATAGATGATAGATAAATATAGACATGATAGATGATAGATAGATGATAGATGATAGATAGATAGATGATTGATAGATGATAGATAAATATAGACATGATAGATGATTGATAGATGATAGATGACAGATAGATAGATTATAGATAGATGATAGATAAATATATACATGATAGATAAATATAGATTGATAGATAGATGATAGATAGACAGACAGACAGACAGATAGAATAGATGGTTGCACAGAAGGAAGTCATAGAGGTGGCACGTACCACGGGGTCCTTGTAAGTGACCAGGGCATCCGTGGCCTTGTCCCAGCTTCTCTGGAAGCCCGGCGGTTTTTTAAAATTGTGGCGATAGTTATTTTTCTGGAGTTGTTTAATGCAACAGGAGAGGGGAGGAGGAAACAGAGGGAAGGAAAGCAGGGGGGGAAAATAACAGGCGAAACGGAAAATAAATGGGAATGAAAAATATAACATAACCCACAGGTTTAAAAAATTAGAAATAAAATAAAAGGGCGATGAGAAACGGGAAGGAATGGAAAAACAGAGCAGAAAGAGAGAAAGAAAAAACAGGACAGCCATAAAAGGAAAAAGTAAATGAACAATGGAGATAGGAAAGATGTGTTTTTTAAAAAAACAGGGGAAAAGGACAAAGAAAAGAGGAGGAAAAAAGAACAAGGGCAGAACAGAAAGAGAACAAAAAGAGGAGCAAGAAGAAGAAAGGAAAGGAAGAGAAAGGAAGAAATGAAGGAGGAACGGAAATGTTAACAATCGGTGCCATAACAGAAATAGAAAACACATAAAAATATATACAAGAACAAAGAGATTAAAAAGCAAAGCAACAAACCAAAAATTAAATGGAAAACAGAGAAAAAATAATACAATAATGTAAATAGCATCTCTCTCTCTCTCTCTCTCTCTAATGTTTCATATCTCTATATTTATCTGTCTGACTGTCTATCTATCTGTTTTCTATCTAATGCTTCATCTCTCTCTATTTATCTAATGCTTCATATCTATCTTTCTATCTGTCATCTATCTAATGTTTTATATCTATCATCTCATATCTATCTATCATTTATCTATCTATCTATCTATATCTATCTAATGTTTCATATCTATCTATCTATCATCTCATATCTATCTATCTATCATCTATCTATATCTATCTATCTATCTATCTATCTATCTATCTATCTATCTATCTATCTAATGTTTCATATCTATCATCTCATATCTATCTATCTATCTATCTATCTATCTATCTATCTATCTATCTATCCAGACAGACAGACAGAAAGGAAGCTGGATTCCCTGAACAACTATGGCAAAATAAGGTTTTAAAATCAGGGGTGCCTCACTTAAAGACTGGAACGCTGAAGTTTTTTTGGTCCCGATTACAGTCGTAAGGCTAAGAGGTGTGGCTCCAATCAGCGCATTGGGGGGATGAAAGGATAAATCCGAGGCAAGGTTGAACCCCTCTAGATGCCCCTTAGGAGCCCCGATATTCATCCCAGCCCCTTTTCATGCCCCTCCCCCCCGTGGGCAAGGCTAAGCCACCCTCCCCGCCACGCCTCTGCACCATGTTTTCCACCGTCCGCAGGTACTTGGCGCACTGCAAGTGGCCGTTGTAGTCGGCAAGGTCCACAGCGGTGTAGCCGTCTTGGTCGCGCAGGCTGAGGTCGACGCCGTTAACCACGAGGATCTGACAGCACTGTGAGGGAGGGGAGAGAAGAGGACATAGGTGAGCAGAGGGGGAAGACTGGGAGTGGGGGGTGAACTAGATGACCTCAGGTGGTCTCCCTTCCCTCCCACTCATTCTAGGCGTCTACATTTTGATTGAGATTCCTCCCACCGGGCAGCGGGTTGGGCTGGATGACCTCTGAGGGCCCTCTCAAGCCTTCCGTTTTAGGCTTCCTTCTTTTAATTTGGGTTAAGAATCTAGAATTTCAGTTTGGATTATGATCCCCCGGCAGGGGGTTGGACTGGATGACCTCCAAGGCCCCTCTCAACCCTTCCAGTTGTATATTTTAATTTGGATTCCTTCACCGGGCATGGGGTTGGACTGGATGACCTTCGAGGCCCCTCTCAGCCCTTCTCTTCCTTCTATTTCCATTGAGATTACGGCACAAGCAATGGGGTTGAGCTGGATAGTCTCTGAAGCCCCTCTCAGCTTTCCCATTTTAGGCTTCTGTATTTCAATTTGGATTCCTCCACTGGGCAGAGGGTTGGAGTAGATGACCTCCCGAGGTCTCCCTTCCAATCTTAGGCTTCCGTGTTTCTCTGCCGGGCAGGGATTCAGACTACACAACCTCTTTCAACCCTAAACTCCTATATTTCAATTTGGATTCATCCGCCAGCCAGAGGGTTGGATTTGATGACCTCTGGGGGCCCTTCTCCCATTCCTAAGGACCAGCAGAGCCACTTGCGAGGGCCCCCGCATCCCCTGAACTGAACCGAACCCAGCATGTCCTTCCCTCGCGGCTGGCTCCAATTCTTCCTTCCTCGCGAGGGAAAGGGCACCAAGAGGCGATCCCTCACCGCCCGATCTTCTCTCCGCGTGCTCACCTCCAGCTCCCCATTCTCCGCGGCGTCGTGCAAAGGGGTCCCCCCCCACTGGTCCACCACGATCTCCCCTCCGTGTAAGAGCAGCCAACTCAGGACTTTGGCGTGGCCCCGACTGGCCGCGAAATGCATCGGCGTGGCCCCGTCTTCGTCCTGCTCCGACAGGTTCACGTCGGTGAAACTCATCTGCGTAGCCAGAAGGATAAAAAAAAAATTAAATAAACGATCAAGACCGGAGTCTCGCATCCGGAGAGGACGCCCTGCAGGCGGTCCTCGACTTACGATCACCACAACGGCGCCCGGAATTTCCGCCGCGAAGCGAGACGTCCGTCCGAGTGAGTTTCACTCTCTCTCTTTTTTTTTTTTAATTTGATTTATATGCCGCCCTTCTCCGAAGACTCAGGGCGGCTTACAATGTGCTCAGCAATAGCCTTCATCCTTTTGTATATTTTATACAAAGTCAGCTTATTGCCCCCACAAACTGGGTCCTCATTTCACCTACCTTAGAAAGGATGGAAGGCTGAGTCAACCTTGAGCCTTGGCGAGATTCGAACTTACTTTAATTGCAGGCAGCTGGTCTTAATAACCAGCTTAATAACAGGGTGCCTTAAACCCCTGTACTACCAAGGCTCTTTGTGCCGCGGTTCGTTCAGTGACCCTGGCTTCCCCACCGACTTGTCAGAAGGTCATGGGACCCCCCCCCGGGGGGAACGCTGCGACCGTCGTAAATACGAGACAGCAGCCAAGCTGTCCGAATTTTGGTCGCATGAACAAGGTAGGTATAAAAAAACCCCCAAAAACCGGATCTAAGTGACTTTTTTCGGTGCTTTGGACGGTCGCTAAATGAACGGCCGTAAGTCGGGGACTACCTCCATGGGGTCTGCGTGGGTTTGTGAACGACGGCAAGGAAAGCTTCCTGACACACACACACACACACACGATGTGACTTCCCCGCCTCCCGTGCTCACCAGCCAGACAATGACGGAGTTGTGGCCCATCTGAGCTGCGGCGTGGAGGGGTGTCATGCCATCGTTGGCGCGTAAGTGAGGGTCAGCCCCACACTCCTTGACCAAATACTGGACAATCTCCATGTGACCCTCTTGGCAGGCTAAATACAGTGGGGTGGCACCGTTCTTGGTTTGGGCGTTGACCGAACTGGAAAGAGAAAAAAAAAAAGAAAGGAAAAAAAATTCAGATTTTTCAAAACCAAACCATCAAGTTGCTGGGCGGCGGGTTGGACTAGATGACCTGAAGGGTCCCTTCCAATGCTAATCTGTTGAATCTGTTTAATAAGTTCCCTTTTTTTTTGTAAAAACGATCGAATCTATCACGGGGAGTCCTTGACCTACGACCGCAGCTGAGCCCAACATTTCTGCCTTTAATAATAATAATAATAATAATAATAATAATAATAATAATAATAATAATAATAATAATAATAATAATAATAATAATTTTATTTCTATACCGCCCTTCTCCCGAAGGACTCAGGGCGGTGTACAGCCAATTTAAAAACACAAGACACAACAATAATTAAAAATTAAAATAATTAAATAGATTTGGCCGATTTAAAACCCTAAAAATTAAAATACCCCAATTTAAAATTATTATATTGACAGCCCTGCCTGGCGAGGCATTTTTTTTGAAGTGACGTGTCGCCCAAATGATTCCCCGACACCCCGATACAGGCAGTCCTCGGTTTCCAACAATTCATTTAGGGATTATTTGAAGTCACAAGGGCACCCACGAAAGTGACTTAGGTCTGTCATTGAGTGAATTGCTGCCATTCTTAAATGTTCTTAAACACGGTCGTTGAGCGAATCCAGCTTCCCCCATTGACTTTGCTGGTCCAAAGTTCACCAAAGGGGATTGCGTGATCCTGGGGAATGATGTGACGGTCGTAAGTGTGAAAAACGGTCACTTTTTTTCAGTGATGTTGTAACTTCGAACCGTCACTAAGCGAGCCATTGTAAGTCGAGGACTATCTGTAATCAAATCTTGATGAAGAACTGAGAAAAATTTCATTTTTCCACTAGAGTTTCCCCGTCCCCTTTCTTCCAACTAAATAAATCATTTTTCCCAGATAGTCCTCAACAAATGACCGTAATAGAGACTGCCCCATTACAGTCGTTAAGCCTTTCCACCGACAATTGTACTAACTTATCAACCGCAGTGATTCGTTTAACAACGGTGGCAAGAAAGGTCGGAAACGGGGGACAAAATTCAGTTCATAAACATCTCACTTAGCAACAGCAAAAGTTTCGGGTTCCATGGTGGTTGTAACCCGAGGACCTCCTGCAACGCGTAAATATTCTAACGAAACGTATCTTGAATTGAGCAGAGAATTTCCCTGCCTTAATCTTGCTGGAAAGTTTCATTTTTTAACCCCGAAAAATCCGGATTCGCACACAACTCGGATGCCCTCTGCCGATTTCAATTCTCCGGAAACACCTGTTGAATATTTCAAAAAGGCAACGCAAGAAAAACTCAGCCGGGCTTTTTAATAATTGATCGGCATCTCTTGGAGATGCCGGGTTCTTTGCAACCTTATTCTCTTTCCATCCGCTCTTAAATGTGAGGGTTTCTTTTTTTTTTTTCTTGCCTGCAACACACAAAAACTGAACAAACAACTGCGTTGTGTGTCCCAAAACTTCAGCCTCTCAAACGGAATAAACAATATTTATTCCAGCTGTAATCTGGAAGTGCTTTCATTGGATCGGAGGGCAGGGAGCAGATTGACACGATGGGTTGTGGGTCCTTCATCACTGCTTGGCTTTAAAGAAGAGACTGAACAATAATTTGTCCCGAATGGTGTAGGGTTTCCTGCTCGGGCAGGGGGTTGGATTAGATGACCTCCAAAGTCCCGTCCAAGCCCATTATCCTGTATTGAGAGAGTAAAGTTGAGGAGTTGCATTGGAGAACCATTTGTCCAGGATGGGACTAGATAGGTAGATAGGTAGAGGATGAGGTTTTCGCGGGTGTTTGTATGTAGGTCTTTGGTTATTCGGGTTTTCTCCCGCGTAAAATTGGAAGTGTCTTGGCGACGTTTCAACGAAGTCTCATTCGTCATCTTCAGGCTGGTGTTTTCGGCTTCGTGCTTCTAGGAGCAATGTGTTAAAAGGAAGAAACAGCTGCGATCACACATTGCTCCTAGAAGCACGAAGCCGAAAACACCAGCCTGAAGATGACGAATGAGACTTCGTCGAAACGTCGCCAAGACACTGCCAATTTTACGCGGGAGAAAACCCGAATAACCAAAGACCTACATACAGTATGTATGTGTATATATATATATATATATATATATAGATAGATAGATAGATAGATAGATAGATAGATAGATAGATATAGATATAGATATAGATATAGATATAGATATAGATAATAGATATAGATATAGATATAGATATATATAGATATATATAATATATATAGATATATATAGATATATATATAGATATAGATATATTATATAGATATCATCTCTAGCTATCATCTAGCAATCTAGCTATCTAGCTGATTGATAGAGATAGGCTGCATGATAAGCATATGAACAGACAGACGGATGGACGGACGGACAGATGGATAGATGGACGGACGGATGGATGGATGATGCAGCTTATCTCCAGAAGTTGCGGCTGCTTCAACCCTGGAGGTTTTTAAGAAGAGATTGGACCAACCATTTCTCTGGAATGGTCTAGGCCGGTCTCCTGCTCAAGCAGGGGGCTGGATTAGATGACCTCCGAGGTCCCTTCCTTCTCCGTTATTCTGTAATCGCAGATCAATTAATCAGTGGAACGACTTCCCCACCCAGAGGTTGTGGGTGCATCCATCCATCCATTCAAGAAGAGACTGGACAGGGACGGTACAGGTAATCCTCGACTTACGGCCACAATTGGACTCAAAATTTCCGTTGCTAAGCGAGACAGTTGTTAAGTGAGTTTTGCTCCCTTTTACGACCTTTCTCCTCCCCATTCCGCTGTGCCACGGAAAGTTTGGGCGCAACAGGTGGCAGTCGTAACTCGAGGACTACTGGGCGAAGGCAAATCTCTTCCCAGGCGCTTCTGTCCTTCCTCCCCTGGGCAGAGGGGCCTTCCTTCCAGGTTCCACCCCCTCCCCAGGAAGCTGCAAAGACAGCGATAAGGGCTATCTGTGCCCCGGAGACAGGCAGTTGGCCGTCGCTTGGCGAGGCGGGCTTCGTCGTAAATCAGATCCCTCCAGGCAGCTGCTATTGTGCCCGGCTGCAAATTAGCTACAGGAACAAAGAAAAGGACACAGCGATAAAAAAGCAGGCAGGGACAATGGAACACCTGGTGGTCTCTCTCCCCCCCCATCTTCCCTCCTCCTTCCTTCCCCCCCCCCCCCCCGCTGGTCCTGCCTGCCTCCCCCCTCCCCTCCCTGGCAGATTTGGTGAGTTTGAGCCAAAAAAATAAAATATTATTTTTAAGGGAGTAAAGGATGTGGCTACCAGACCGGCTGGAAGGCAGAAAATTGCAGTCAAGGATGTAGAGAGTTGGAAAGGGCACCTCAGAGGTCATCTAGTCCAACCCCGAACCCAAGGCACGTTTCCAGTGAAAGCCCAGGATGGTGTGAAGTTTAGGAAGGGGGTCTCGAAGAGCATCCAGTCCAGCCGCCTAAACGCTTGACGTAGAGAACCAAGTGCCATCCCTGAGTTCTATTGTGCAGGTAGTCCTTGACTTATGACGGCCGTTGAGCGCCACATTTCTGCGGCTAAGGGAGGCGGTTGTCCGCTGAGTTCCCCCCACCCACAATTTCACGACCTTTTAGCCCCGGTGAGTAAGTGAATCGGTGCAGTTAAGTCAGGAACACACGGTTGTTAAATGAATCAACTTTGCTGGTCTGAAGGTCGCGTCCCCAGGACATTGCAACCGACATAAGTCCTTGCCAGTTGCTAAGCCTTTGAATTTTGATCATGTGACCGCGGGGAATGCTGCAACGGTCGTAAGTGTGAAAAAATGGTCCTATAATCATCTCATGGTCTTAACTAACCAAGGAGAGAAACAACCTGGAATTAAGGAGAAATTTCCTGACAGTGAGAACAATTAACCCATGGAACAACTTGCCACCAGAAGTTGTGGGTGCTCCAACACTTGAATTTTTTAAAGAAGAGATTGGACCATTGTCTGAAATGGCATGGGGTTTCCTGCCTGAGCAGGGGGTTGGACTAGAAGACCTCCAAGGTCCCTTCCGACTCTGTTTATTTTATTCTATTCACTTTTTTCAGCGCCGTTCTCACTTCAAACAGTCACTAAACAAAGCAACAAGTCAAGGGCCACTTGCAACTCTTAGATAAGGGGAGATTTTTTACAGCCCTATCTATAATTTAATATATACAATTTTATATATATATATAATATATTTATTGATTAGACTGTATAGGACCATATCAATGTACAGGTTCTAACACATATTACCAATAAAATTTAAAATGAAAATAGGATAAAATACAATAGTTATAGGAGAAAACACAATAATATATAAAATTACATAATACATAAATTCGTAGAATAAACCAAGAAGTGAAGGCGAATCGAAGGCGGTTTGTGTTAGCTAAACCTTCTTTGTATAAGCCACCATCCGTGTTTCTTGGCAGTCTTGGAAGGATCTGGTTGCACTAACCGGTAACCGAGCCCGGGATCAAGCTGTCACTGGGGGGGGGGTGGGGGAGAGGTACGGTGAAAGATCGTTCTTGCCCAGCTGTAAATAATTCATGTTGTTCCTTAACTAAGACAGGCAAAAACATGGGAGGAATGGAGTCATGTTGGCTTATGGTCGCAGAAAAAAAAAAGCATTCAGAAAAATTCAAATTAGAGCATAAAATAGATGAAGAAGGGTTGCAGGAATCGGTTATGTCTAATTAGAATAGAATAGAATAGAATAGAATAGAATAGAATAGAATAGAATAGAATAGAATAGAATAGAATAGAATAGAATAGAATAGAATAGAATAGAATAAAACAGCAGAGTTGAAGGGACCTAAATTCACTCTAGTAAATCTAACATCACCTATTTAATTTATTTTTTTTCTTAAATAGTATTTATTTGACGTCCCGACGAAGACGAGGTAAGCAAACCGACGTAACCTGGATCTCTCTATCCTAAAGCTTGCAAACCTTCAATCCAAGATAGTTTGAACCGCGGCGGAATGGCGTGCCAATAAATTCGCTAATCTGATCAAGGTCTTACAAATTCTTGCCGGATTTTGAACGGACATAATCCTCAGCTCTCCTACGAGAAAAAGAGAGAGATGCGGAAGGATGTAGACATTTGGAGAAAAAAGGGGGAAAATTTGCTTGGCTGCTTAACGTCCCTTCGAAATCTTGCCTTGCAATTAACCCTTAACTATCAAAAAAGTTGTAAAATCGGACGCAAGTCCCAAAATCTGCCTTGCAGCCCACAGATGGTGGTCATAAGTAGAGGACTAACTGCACGTCGTATTCTGGATTGACTCAGCCCTCCAGCGAGGGAAGATGACGGTCATAAGAAGGGTTTGGGTTGGACTAGAAGATCTCCAAGGTCCCTTCCAACTCTGTTATTCTATTCTATTCTGTTCTGTTCTGTTCTATTCTCTATTAGTTATTTTGTATTCTATTCTATTCTATTCTATTCTATTCTATTCTATTCTATTCTATTCTATTCTATTCTCTAATTATTTATTTTGTATTCTATTCTATTCTATTCTCTATTATTTATTTTCTATTCTATTCTATTCTCTATTATTTATTTTCTATTCTATTCTATTCTATTCTCTATTATTTATTTTCTATTCTATTCTATCTATTCTATTCTATTCTATTCTATTCTATTCAAATGGCAGAAAGTTTTTTTTTTTTTACAATTGCAAAATATTTATAAAGCTAACTGCAGAACCAGCCGAAAATAATTTTTGCAGCTCTCATTTTCTCCTTTGCTGGTTTTCTGTGAGCCAAAAAGGCGGAAACTTTTTTTTTGAAAAGCTGCTTAGCATTTTGGGGTGGGAGGGAAGCTCGTGTTTAACGCCGCCCCAAAAATTCTGAATTCTTTTTTTTTTTTTAAAAGAGGCTTGGCTTCCCAACTCTCCTCAAGAGCGAAAACCAGGCCACCGTCCCCAAAATTAATTCTGCAGATGGAGGCCTTGGGTAAATACGAGATTTCTGCTGGATGCAAACTGGACTTTCCACGCTGCAAAGTTTAAAAGAGACCCTGTGGTTTTTTTTTTTTTTTTTTAAAAGCCTGTTTCTGGCTGGCAGGAATAACGTATCTGGCAGGTTTTAAATTACCCTTCCGAGGAGCCGTCTTTCGCTCCGAAGGCTATTTGTGGTCGAACCACACCGGCTCGCCGTGGCAAATGAGATTAAAAACCTTTTAATCTGTCACGTACTGTACTTGTGTGGTTCCAAAGGATCCTGCTGACCTATTTTTCCCAGCTGGAGTGATTTTATATTAGCTCTTCGGCTGGAGTTTAATTTTAAGTAAGGTATTCAGCAGAGGCTGGAAAAGCTATGGGGGTGCTCTTTTTTTCCTGGGCAGAGAGGGTGGGTTGGGCTAGATGACCTCTCAGTTCCCTTCCATTGCATTGCATTCCTATATATATATATATATATATATATATATATGTATGTATGTATGTATGTATGTATGTATGTATGTATGTATGTATGTATATTAGAATGGAGGCAGACAAGCAGGCAGGCAAGGAAGGAGGCAGAGAAAGAGAGAGAAAGAGAGAGAGAGAGAAGGAAGGAAGGAAAGAATGAAGGGAGGGAGGGAGGGAAGAGATAGAAAGAAAAAAAGAGGGATGGATGAGAAAAGAAAGGAAGGAAAGATTGGAGGGAGGGAAGAAATAGAAAGAAAAAAGGGGGATGGATGAGAAAAAAAGGGGAGGAAGGAGTTTAGGAAGGAAAGAAGGAAGGAAAGAGAAAATGAAAAGAGGGATGGATGAGAAAGGAGAGAGAGAGATGAAAGAAGGAAAGGGGACGGATGAGAAAGAGAAGGGAGGGAAGGAAGGAAGGGAAGGAGAGAGAGGAAAAGGAAGAGGGATGGATGAGAAAGAGAAGGGGGAAGGAAGGAAGGAAGGAAAGAAAGAAGGAAGGAGAGAGGAAAGGGAAGCGGGATAGATGAGAAAAGAGAAGGAGGGAAGGAGGGAAGGAAGGAAGTTGTGTGTCTCTCAAGCCACCCAAATGACAGCTCACACACACCCCTCCACCCTCTCAGGAAAACAGGCGCTCCATCAATCTCCCTCCCTCAGGCCTCCCCCCTCCCCGACCGCCCTCCCCCTCCCTTCCCTGCCCACCCAAATTTTGGCTGTCCTCCCCATCCAAAGAGCCCTCCCGCCCCTGCCTGGCACACAATCCCTTTACACAACACCGCAGACACAAAGGCCGCTGTGTTATCAGCTCTTTGCAAAGCCCCATGGGCTATATTTCCATCGGGACTCCGAAGCCCCCCCCCCCCCTCCCCCCGCCCCTCCCTCCCCCCCATAAAGCTGTCAGAGATGCCGAAAACAATCCGAACCAAGGAGACACAATTCTAGCCATGATACGGACAAACCAGGATGGGGGCAAAACCAGGCCAGGATTGTGCCCAAGACGCTTGATGACATCCTTTGGGGGGGCTGCAGCGTGACCCCAAGGGAGGTGGCTTTCTGCAATGGGGACACTGAGGCACGGGGCCAGTCCTTGAGGCTGGGTGTAAGGCCTCGCTTGGCCAGCATTTAACCTGGTTTGCAGAGCACCTGACCTAACCCACCTTCCTTTGCACAAAAGGCATTGTGGTTAGCCTAACCCTCTTTCGTGCAGAGAAATCTGGAGACGCATTTTCTGCCCGGGTGCCAACATGTATGTGAGAGCAGAACATCGTGACAACATAACACATTGAATCATCCGTCAGACAGAACCCAGAATCACAGAGCTGGAAGGGACCTTGGAGGTCTTCTAGTCCAACCCTCGACCATTCTGGATAAAGGCTGTCCAATGTCTTCTGGAAGACCTTCCTTCCTTCCTTCCTTCCTTCCTTCCTTCCTTCCTTCCTTCCTTCCTTCCTTCCTTCCTTTCCTTCCCCTCCCACTTTCCCTCCTTTAATGTTCCTTTTCCCCCTCCCTTCCTCCTCCTTTCCTTCTTCTAATCTTCCTTCCTTCCTTCCTTTCCTTCCCTCCCTCCCACTTTCCCTCCTCTAATGTTCCTTCTTCCACCTCCCTTTCTCCCTCTTCCTCCTTCTTCTAATCTTCCTTCCTTCCTTTCCTTCCTCCTTCCTTCCCTCCCTCCCACTTTCCCTCCTCTAATGTTCCTTTCTTCTCCCTTTCTTCTTCTAATCTTCCTTCCTTCCTCCTTCCTTCCTTCCCTCCCCTCCCTCCACTTTCCCTCCTTTAATGTTCCTTTTCCCCTCCCTTTCTCCTCCCTTCCTTCTTCTAATCTTCCTTCCTTCCTTCTTTCCTTCCTCCCTTCCTCCCCTTCCTCCTTCCTTCCTTCTTTCTTTCCTTCCTTTCCTTCCCTCCCTCCCACTTTCCCTCCTTTAATGTCCCTTTTCCCTCCCTCCCTTACTCCTCCCTTCCTTCTTCTTCAATCTTCCTTCTTCCTCCTAATCGTCCTTCCTCCGTCCTTCCGTCCATCTGTCGTGCATCTTATCCATCTGTCTCAGAATCATAGAGTTCTACCCCCTGCTGAAGCAAAATCCCTGTGGTCACGTGACCAAAATTCGGAGGCTTGGCAACTGGCATGGACTTATGACGGTTGCAGTGTCACGTGGTCCCTTTTTGCGCCCTTGAGAGCAGCAAAGTGGATTCATTTAACAACCGTGTCCCTGATTTAACTGCACTGATTCAATTACCAACCGGGGCGAAAAGGTTTTCAAAGAGGGACAAAATTTTCAACTTTCGGAAAGGTTTTAAAAAGCCCCCGGGGTTAGGAAACCCCCCCCCCCGATGCCGAGGCCAAAACCACCATGGATAATAGAGGAATAAAATAAAACCAAATCTGAAACAAAATAATGAAATAAAATAAAAAACCAAAATAAAAGAGAGACAGGCAGTCCTTGACTTACAAAAGTCCGTTTAACGACCGTTGAAAGTTACAACGGCCAAGAAAAAAGTGACTTATGACCGTGTTTCACACTTATGACCGTCGCAGCCATCCCCGTGGTCACGTGATCAAAATTCAGACGCTTGGCAGCTGACTCCCGAGTGACTAATTTAAGAACGGCAGCGGTTCGTTTAACGGTGTCAAAAGAAAGGTCGTAAAACAGGGCCTTGCTTAGTAAAGGAAATTTGGGGTTCCGTGGCGGTCGTAACTCGAGGACTACCTGTGATGCTTCACTTTTTAACACTCACATGCTCAACTCTGCGTTGGGAAAGTAACGCTGGCCCAGCGAGGCGGTCCCTTACCTGGGACAGTGTCCGAGGATCAGATGGAGGGAAGGAAAATCTCCTTTGGTGGCAGCGTAGTGGATGGGCAGTGCGCCCGTCTCGGTGGGCACAAGCGGGTCGCCGTTCCCGAAGCGCAAGAGCCAGTCGATGACGTCGTGGTGGCCGAAGCGGGCCGCCAGGTGCAGGACGGTGGCCCCCGAATGATCCGCATCCTGCACGAATGGACATGGCGAGACCGTCACAACTCCGAGGCGAGATTTAGCAAAACGTGGGCCGTGCACGACAAGGAAAGGAAAGGAAAGGAAAGGAAAGGAAAGGAAAGGAAAGGAAAGGAAAGAAAGAAAGGAAAGGAAGGAAGGAAGGAAGGAAGGAAGGAAGGGCAGAATAAGAGGCCTGGTGGCTCAGCAGACTGATAGCATTGTGATTAACACCAGCTGTCTGCAATTACTGTAAGTTCGAATCTCACCAGGCTCAAGGTTGACTCAGCCTTCCATCCTTTCTAAGGTAGGTAAATTGAGGACCCAGTTTGTGGGGGCAATAAACTGACTTTGTATAAATATACAAAAGTATGAAGGCTATTGCTTAACACATTGTAAGCCGCCCTGAGTCTCTGGAGAAGGGCGACATATAAATCAAATTTTAATTTTAAAAAAAAAAAATAGCCCAGTGGAGGGGCTGGACTAGATGACCTCTAAGGTCTCCTTGCCTTCTACAATAGGCTACATTTGGAGGGGGGGATATTTTCGCTCTGCTCCTTCACTCCCGTGCCTGAAGGTTGAACTGGTCCCACGCGCTAGTTAAGCCACAATGCGGGTCAAAGTGTTGTGAGAATCTGGGCCAGGGGTCTCCCCCCGTGTCTTGGGAACGGGGCGACCTGTGACACGGTTCCTTCCCCAAACAAACGTCCCAACGGGACCTCGGCCACGCCGCTTGCGATCAGAGTCGGGGTTGAGAGATTGTGTGAATCCAACACGGGTCTTTTCTGGCCAACCTTCGTGCAAGGCCAGCGGGAGGGAGAATCCCCCTTTCCCGGCCTGTCCGGGTAGAGACCCCAAGTGTCCCGCTATGGAGGCTGAAGCAGACGCGACCCCTCTCTTGCCCCGCCTCCCTGGCTGCCCTCTGCACGTGCTCAGAGGCTCACCTGGACCCGGGTGGGGCAGCCACTGCAGGCAGCCTGGGTGGACAGAAGGGCAAACGAGGGGAAGGTCCCCCACTCATCCCCAACCGTCTCAGCGCCCGCGCCGCGATCCTGACCCTCCGCCTCGTTTCCTGCCCTCTGCACGACCTCAGAGGCTCACCTGGACCGAAGCCGAACAGCCACCGCAGGCCCCAAAAGTGGAGAAAAAGACCCCCCGCCCACTTCCCCTCTTGGGGGTCCCCATCAGTCCGAAGCGCCCGCGCCGGCGATCCCTCCACGATCCTGGCTCTTCGCTTCGCTCCCCGCCCTCTGTATGTGCTCAGAGGCTAACCTGGACTCGGGCCGGGCAGCCACCCCATGCAAGCCAGGTGGACAGAGGCGGGGGGACAAGAAAGAGACACCCCCGTTTCGGTTCTTGGGGTCCCCTGAAGCGCCCGCGCCGCGATCCTGCCTCCCTCCCTCCCCGCCCGCCCTCTGCCCATGCTCAGAGGCTCACCTGGACGCGGCAGCCGCCGGGCCCGAGCAGCCACTGCAGGCAGGCCAGGTGGCCGGTGGCGGCGGCGTCGTGGGCCGGGGTGGCCCCGTTGCGCGCCCGCCCCTGCGCGCCCAGCGCGGCATCCTCCACCAGGTAGCGCAAGCAGCGCAGTTTCCCGGCGCGGGCGGCGTGGTGGACGGGCGAGGCGCCCAGCGGGTCCCGGAGGGCGGCGGGGGGCAGCAGCGGGACCCCCCGCTCGGCCGCCGGAGGCAGCAGCGCCTTCAGCGCCTCCAAATCGCCCTGGCGAGCCGCTAGCAGTGCGCGCTCCCCGGCCATGGCGCTCGCCTGGCGCCCGGCCGGCTCTGCGGGAGCTTCGGCCGGAGGGAGGGAGGGGAAGGGGGGGAGGGGTGGGGGGTCTGGCCCCGCCCACTAGAGGGAGGCCACGCCCCTTCCCTGGCCACCCACCCACCCGGCCCCTCCCTCCTCCTGTATGCCTGCTCCGACTACTAGCGCAACCTCCGGGAGCTGTCCTTCAGCACCTGGGTGCCCCGGCGTCTGAGCATACACAGAGTTGCATCCCTTTGGGAGCAGCTGGATCGAAAAATGCTGGTTCCGAGGCTCCCCCTCTTCGGCAGGGGGCACCCACCTTCCTTGCAAGTGGTCCTGGGGTCGCAGCAGGGGGTGGAACTGCTTCGGCAGGGGAGGAGGAGAGGAGAGGAGGGAAAGGGGACCAAGCGGAGATGCAGGGCAGGATTGAAGGGGGAGGTGGAAAGGGACTCCGAGCGGAAATTGGCAAATAGTTGTGCCTTTGGGCAGCGTTTCCCCCCCCCCCTCAAGCTGGTTTGCTTTAGAATGGGTGGACTTCAACTCCCAGAATCCCCCAGCCAACAGGTAAGGACTACAAGTCCCAGAATTCTCCAGCCAGCATGCATGGGCTTCAACTCCCAGAATCCTCAGGGCAGTAAAGGGGAGGGAGACATAAGAGCACACCGTCAAGAAAGAAACTCAGCAGAATATTTTTCTGATCTGCAGAAGATCCAGTAAGGGAATCTGTTAGGGAAGCTTCAATACTTGGTTTGGACCACACGGTGGCGCTAAAGACCGTCCATTAAAAGCCACCTCGCTCATTAGAAGTTCTCTTCCTTCCTTTATTTTGCAAAGTTTTTAAGAGACACGCCCCCTCCCTTTCCAATTGGGTGGGGGGTCCCTGTTTAAGAAGTAGGGGAGGGGGTTTGCAAAAATCAGGTAGGGCCTAGAAAATAAACCTAAAGAACAGTTCAATATGTATGCCCAGCCTCTTAAGAACACCCAAGTTAGTGGCTTCAGTCCTCTGTACCGAGACAGTTCCAGCCACAATTCATAGAATCACACAAGGCTGGAAGGGACCTTAGAGGTCTTCTAGTCCAACCCCCAGCTCAAGCAGGAGACCCTAGACCATTTCGGACAAATGACTGTCCAGTAGGGCTTTTTTGCCCCCCCCCCCCCAGTGGTGTCCTTTTTTATACAAAGTCAGCTTATTGCCCCCACAATCATTTGACCTACCTCGGAAGGATGGAAGGCTGAGTCAACCTTGAGCCTGGTGAGATTTGAACTCGCAGTAATTGCAGGCAGCTGGTGCTATTTAGCAGCACTTTAGTCTGCTGCGCCACCAAGGCTCCAGACCCCCGACCCATCTTTGTTGATAGAGGCAAGCAGTCATTTGCATTGCCTTTAAGACCTCTCCCCCCTCTGGGGCAGCTGCGCCCACTCGTGCCCACTACCAGTTGTGAAAAAGGCCGTTGGCGCAACAGAAGGTTGGCTGTAGCACGTGCCACAGATTGAGCTCGATGGTCTGAGGCGAAGCGAAGGGTCTCTACAGCACAAAAGACCCTCCCTCAACGATCCCAGCCCCCAGGCCACACTGACGGCTCAATTGTGGGAGGGGGAGAAGCGAAGACCTTGAGCCCAGCTTACTGTTGTGCTCTTCAACACCTGAATTTGAACCCAGAGCTGGCCCAGAGTCAGCAGACCAAATGTGCAGCTGGGCAGGGGAAGGCTGATAGTCTAGTTTTTTTTTCTGGGCTTTCCCTGTGGTCTCCCATCCCAGGCCGATTCTTCTGAATTATTTTATTCATTCACTTACTACATATATTTACGCAATAATTCCTGGGTTGATTAAAAGGCTTTTGGGAAATTGTGTTTTTTTTTTTTGGTCCAGTTTGTTTCGTGGCAGCTGGGTGGGCCGTTGTGGCATCCGCCGCAACTTGTCAACAACATACCCAACGGATTTATTTGAGGGGTGGGTGGGAGAAAAGAGGAGGGCTTGGGGGCGTCCGCCCCGCCGCCTGGCGCCTTTTCCGGCCGCTCTCCAGGGTGCTGAAGACGCGCGGCTGAGACAGCTGGACCTCCGCCCCTAAGCCGCTGGGGTGAAGCCTGCTTGGGGGGGCGGGGGGGGGGGGGGGTTATATTAATGGCCCCTCCGAGACCCAAAGCAGCATCTCAAGCTAAAATGTTGGGGGCCGGACGGGGGGGGGGGTCACTGTGCCGATATGCCAGTTTCGGGTTGGGGGTCTTCTGTCTGTCTATCAGGAGATTTCGGTTTTATTTGTAACTTGTTGTAGGGAAGGGAGGCGGCGGCTCAGTGGCTAAGACGCTGAGCTTGTCGATCGAATGGTTGGCAGTTCGGCGGTTCGAATCCCTGGTGCCGCGTAACGGGGTGAGCTCCCGTGACTTGTCCCAGCTTTTGCCAACCTAGCAGTTCGAAAGCCCGTAAAAAAGAAAATGCCAGTAGAAAAATAGGGGCCACCTTTGGTGGGAAGGGAACAGCGTTCCGTGCGCCTTTGGCCTTGAGTCATGCCGGCCACATGACCACGGAGACGTCTTCGGACAGCGCTGGCTCTTCGGCTTTGAAACAGAGATGAGCACCGCCCCCTAGAGTCGGGAACGACTAACACATAGGTGCCAGGGGAACCTTTGCCTTTAACTGCTGTAGAGAAGATCAGAATTACTTCTTTATATATATTCCCCCCCCTTTCCTTTCTTTTCCTTTCCTTTCCAAATTTCCTTTCCTCCCTCCCATCCATCCCCTCCCCCTTTTCTTCTTTTCTTCTTCCCCCCCTTCTTCTATGTGCCTCTCTTTCCATATCTTTCTTCCCATTTTTTTCCCTTCCCTCTTCCTCGGTATTATTTCAGATTTCTCTTCCATTTCCTCGCCCCGCCCTCCCCTGGGGAAGGGGAAAGACCACCCTCCCTGTTGGCCATCCCCCAACCTGGCCAACCGATCTGGCCGGGCACTCAGCGGGCAGCCAATAACCGGCCCCCTCCGGGGCCACCCAGCGCCAGCCAGCCAAGGCCGGCTTGGCAAAGTGGCGGCGAGTTCCGCGGGCCTGGAGGCGCTGGACCTTAAAGGGCGGGGCGGAGGGGGGGCGGCATGCCAAGTGGGCGGGGCCAGGAGGGTATAAAAGGCCCCCGTCGGGCGGGGCAGGGCCAGGAGTCGCGTCTGCCGCTGGGTTGTTGCGCATTGACAAGGCGGGATGAGTCCGGGAAGGAAAACCGGGGAAGCTTCGGAGCTGCGGAAGGTGAGCCTGAGCGGGGGAGGCCCAGCCGCGTCCTTTGCCCCTTCCCCTGACTGGGCCCGGGGTCCAGCCGTCGGACTGACCCCTCCTCTCCTCTCTCTCCCCCCCTCCTACAGAGCCTGAAGCCCCTGATGGAGAAACGCCGCCGAGCGCGCATCAACTGCAGCCTTGGCCAGCTTAAGACGCTCATCCTTCCCCTGGTGGGCAAAGACGTGAGTGGCGACGCCCCCTCCCCACGCCAGACCCTCCAAGACCCCCTGGCAGGCGAAAAAAGATTGCGGGGCCCCTTCTCTCCCTCCCCCCCCGGGATCCAGGAGGGGCAGAGCGCTTGACATTATATAAGATGGAACAATAGAGGAGAATATTTGCACCTCAGGGTTGAAATGGGGAGGGGGTCTCTGAGCTTGGGGGTGGGTGGGTTCTCACAGACGTTTCATGACCCAACTAGGGAACATCATCAATGCGAGAAGGGAAGGGGGGTTGCAGAGTGGAGGAGGAGGAAGACTGTGGGGTCCTTGGTGCTCTCTGAGCTTGGCGGTTTTGTTGCAGATGTCTCATGACCCAACTAGGGAACATTATCAGTGTTAGAAGGAAGGAGGGCTTGCAGGGAGGAGGAGGAAGAAGAGGAAGAGGAGGACTGTGGGGTCCTTGGTGCGCTCTGAGCTTGGTTGTTTTCTCACAGACGTTTCGTGACCCAACTAGACAACAGCATCAGTGCTAGAAGGAGCGATATGTCAACCAAGAGCAAAGCTCCCTCCCTTCTAGCACTGATGCTGTTCCCTAGTTGGGTCATGAAACGTCTGCGAGAAAACCCCCAAGCTCAGAGAGCACCAAGGACTTCTCTGCAGGAATTCACTCAACAGCTGTGGAAAGAGAGGTCTTAAAATGGAGCAAAATTGACTTTAACTGTCTCGCTCAGCGACAGAAATGTTGGGCTCAACTGTGGTCATAAACTGAGGACTACCTGCAGTGCAAACTTGGGCACCCCTCTCTTGCTGAGTCCCTGACCCTTCCATTCCCTGCAGGGGCTTCTTGTATTTGTGGCGTGTGTAATTTTGCATCTTTTTTCGCATCTCAACAAAATTTATTTTCACCGTTCCACTCCAGAATTCCTGCTATTCGAAACTGGAGAAAGCCGATATTTTGGAGATGACCGTCCAGTTCCTCAAGGACCTGCCGACGTCTTGCGGCACGCTTCCCGGTGAGTGTGACAAGGGTTGCACAATTGTGTGTCCTTGTGTTGACAGAACAAACGTTTGAAAATTGACATTTTAGCAGGGCGATCCCTAAACCTCAGATGGTGTACAGGCCGTCCTTGACCGTGATCAAAATTTAGAGGCTTGGCAACTGGCATGGATCTATGACAGTTGCAGGTCCCTTTTGTCGGTGTCATTGTGACTTCCAACAGTCACTAAATGAATTGCTGTAAGTCGAGAACTACCTTATCGGGGGAATAATTTGAATTTTTGCTTCCTGCAGGATCGGTGGATAGCTACTGTGAAGGGTACCACACCTGCCTGTCCCACTTTGCGACGTTGATCCCGAAGTACAACCTGCTGAGCCCGGAAACTTGCAACCAGCTCTTGGCCCAGCTCCAGCAAACGTTCAAGGATTGCGCTTGGCATCGCAACTGCACACAATCGACAAAGGATTTCGTCGCAACGCAACAGGCGGAGACACCCCTGTGCCCTGCTGTCCGACGGGACCAGGAAGACTTTTGGGGGTGCTCTCCGCCCACACAGCCTTCCCCCCTGTGGAGACCCTGGTAAAGGGGGGAGGAAATCTTCACCCTGC